CAGATTTCTGTCAGAATCTGAACATTATACAGTACAAATAAAATGTTCACGTTTCTCCAACGTTGTCTTCCCAGCAGTTTCACTGACATCTACACGGGATGGCCAGGAAGCGTTCGCGATGTCTTCTCGGGCGCTTCTCCGGAGCTGATAATTGGCATCTGTCTTGTGTCAGTTACGTAAAAGACGGATTTAATGCGACTTGACCGTTCAAACAGCAGTCGCTTTCTAAAACATCGGATATGTATCGGATTCAGTACCACATACGAAAGTGACCCAGATCGGATTTGAAAATATCGGATTCATGCCGTTCACACTGTCATACCATGATTGGATATGGGTCGCATAGGGTCAAAAAAATCGGATGTGATGCGCTTTCGCCTGCAGTGTGAACGTAGCTGGCTACGTTCACACTGCATGCGAAAGCGCATCAACGCAGTGTGAACGTAGCCTTAAGCGTTTAGCATGTTAATGTGATAACATTTGGTAATTATAGCACAAAGCATTAACCCTCATCCTCTCAACATATTTAACATACACAGACTACCGACTGGGCTCTGTGTAGATCTCAACAATCATAACAGTTGCTACTACTAATCTGGACCATTTTGATTCCAATATAAAATAAATTGAATAAACACACAACCAGTCAGCCCAGCATGTCCTAGGTGGAGTTGTGTGCTTTTGACTGGTGTCCCAATTTAGAATCCATAATTAATCTAACCCCATGCATGGTTTAATATTTATTATAGCAATTACAATATGAGATTCAACTCAAAACCCCTCTTACTGTATAAGACAAAGAACAATGTGTTTTGCAAAGAAAGCACCTTCTAACCTGGAGGATATCTTGCCGCTCGAGTTTGTCACAAAAACACTTCTGTGAGAAGTTAAAAACTGTAGTAACAACCTCATAAATGTTTCAAAACCTGAGATTTATGCTGCGTATGTCACGAGTCACTGTGCAGCGTGGTTAATCTCTGCTAAAACAAAGCATGACTCTGTTTAGACACATCTGTCTTGTCTCTTTATAACATACAGAATGTGTCTTTGTGTGTCCTTGACCCAGGCAGGCTTCCTGCAGCTCCTCTAAACACTGAGTGACAGCAGCAAACTCCAAGCAGAGGGGTTAACGTTTACGTGATGCAGTAACATTTGACTTCTTCATTCTTTGTCTCACACAGCTGTTCCATGAAGCGAAACACATGTGCTGACACAATCTTTATATTTATATTAGGCCTCTTTTATTTTTGTGATAGGACGGTCGAACAGACAGACGGAATAACATGCAGGAAATGGACCAGGGAAGAGTCAAACCGCTGTTACAGCCATTCGGCATAAGGGTCAAACCACCAAATTATACTGAGACCCAGGCAGGATCTTTCTTCTTTCTTCTGCTCTGTAACTCACTTGCTTCGTAACAAACTAAACTTCATAATTTAACCAAAAGACTAGATTATGAAATGACAAATTTGAGGGATTTATGCAATCTATCTATTGTCTATAAAATTAAGATTGTCACCTGTATTTTGCACATCCTTTGTATTAAATAAAGCATTTCTATTTGAGTGTGATGTATCCATGCCTTTTATCCCACTTATTAAATTTGGGGATGGAAAATGGTGGAGAGAGTTCATACCTTTCTTTTGAGAACAGTTACGCTGTGCTCCAACTTTTCTTTGCACCCACTAGATTCACATTGTTTTCATTCTTCATTATATGAAAACATGTAGATATCATGGATGCATATCATGTAACAGGCTGGCTGGGCACCACAGTGCACCTGTCACACTGGCACCATCACTACATATCTGCAGTCTATGTATATGGTCTATAGTTGTTCAGTGTGAGAGTCGATAACTAGCACCAGAATGAGGACGGCGTCAGTAAGGAAGCAGGAAGTGTTACAGAAAGACAGCATGACAACAGATGGATAGGACAGTAAAAATGAATCAACTCCCATAGGAAGGCTGGTGCTGGTGTATGCATCCGTGTGTGTGTGTGTGTGCGTGTGTGTGTGCGTGCGTGTGTGTGTGTGCGTGTGTGTGGTAAGTAGTGGTCCACACGCCACCCACATTCCACAGCTTGTATTCATTACCTCAGATTCACGGAGTCCTCACTGTGACAAACACACACAGGCACATGTATGTACTGTACATTGGGACTGTAACTATACCATCATGTAAATATATCTATATTGAGTTTAACTCTTATTAGAGGGGAAAAAACATAAAAAACAAAATAAAAGAAATTTGCCCAAACTGCATGCTTGCTTCAAGATGTGGGAATAGAACATGTATGCATATATGTATGCATATGTATACTCTCTGTGAATGGTACTCATGGCCATTGATCAGTGGTTGTTGATCAATGGTCATGAGAATTTGCATAATTAAGATTAAGGAACTGACCTCCCAGCCCATTGTTCCTTCAGTGGGCTGGTTTCAGTCATTATGCAAATGTGCTGTTTATAAGATTTGGGGAAACATGCAGTCAGCTGAGACTGAAGATGTCACTTGGATGAGTGACGAAACTTTTCTCCCACAAAACGCTACGTCCAGATGAACAGAATCAACTTTTGAACATGTATGCACTTTATAACAAGCACACAGAGTTTGGAATAGTATAAAGTTGTCTCATATCACCAAACATCCACAAAATTCTTATTCAAAAAAATTCTTATAAGCAACAAGTCTGATAGTCAACTGATAAGTGAAATCAAGTTACAGTGTGTTGCCTCATTTTTCACAGAACCGGATGAGGCAACAGACATATAAATGAATCATGTCTGTATTTCTATGATAGCACAGCCACCATCTCTCCCACATCTAACACGACAAAAGCCTCCTATGCCTCTATCACTCAGCACCAGCTTTCCCTTCCACTCATCTATTCTTCACTGTCCCTCGAGCTCCTTTCTGTGGGATTACCCCCTAATGCCAAACCTAAACAGAGGCTTAGTGGCTGGCGACTGTGGATGTGGGTGTGGGGCTTAGCTGGGGCTGAATGTGATGCTTTTGGAACAGGATGAGAGCTGTCCAGCACAAGATCTCATTCATGGGACTGTGAAGCTGGTTATGAGGCAAGACCCACGAGGCAAGGTACCAGCTGATTAGCCAGAATGAAGCAGGTAACATAAAGACATCATGTTTCTAAGCAACTACACTCTTTCTGGTTATCTTGAGTAGCTTATCTCACCCATTCTTAACTACTACCAATGACAGTATGAAGCAAAACATGAACAACCCTAAAACTGCATTATGACACGGCTTTAACATGCACACGCACATTCTAGTCATTTTATTAAAACAGTAAGCTGAGCATCTGGATTGAATTGTTGATGCATTTCAGAAAACATAAAATAATTACCAAAACTTGCTCAAATTCATCATCTGACAGTGATTATCATTGCACGTTCTGCAGTTCATCAGTGGTAATAGGTATTATAATGTTTCAGTCAGGACTACAGAAGCAGACCAGATTAGTGGAATCTCAGTCTCAACTCATTTGTATAGCGCCAAATCGCAACAACAGTTGCCTCAAGGTGCTCGCTAATGGAGATTTGCTGCATAATGCGGTTATGGCGTTAATGTCATTTTAACGAGATTGTTATAATGTTATAATCCAACTTGTGGAGATTTGAATATATATTCTGCATTTCAGTCATGCCTTTGAAGCATCCAATACATTCTGAATTAGTACGACAATTCAATTCTTAAAAACACCTTTAACACAATCTTATTAGATATGATATCAGAAGGCTCAAGGAGATGTGTTTACTGTTGCAGCCTTGACAGATCCTCTGAGCTTCTGCAATGATGGCTATAACTCTGCCAACTCCAGCACACAGTGTACTTTACTATAATAGCTGATCTGGCACCAGATCCAACATTCACACTTTGGCACACTCTACAAAGGAGATTCATGCCCACACTGGCTTTTATTAATGTTAATAGAAATAGCTTTCCCCATCAGGATCTGCACATCTCAGCTTAGAAAGAGGCTGAATCAGGATGAATTAGCCTCAGGGTCAATACTTCAGCTCTGTGGTTCTTAATATTCGTGACAGGCGCTAGAACTTTTTGGCAGTCTGTCTTTATTTGATGATATAAACCAATACATTTAATCCCATCAAACATGTTACATTTTTGCCTGAAGAAAAATGAATATTTGTAAAAGTTTTCTGCTAGTGGAAAACTTTGTGTGGAGTCTGTCTTACCAACTTTGCTGATGTGCATAACACAAACTCCACTTATTTCTATTTCTTAGTTATTTAATGCCTTGAAAAAAAAACTGCCCGCTCATTTTTTTCACAACCATTCACAGACCTATTCGCTGGTTAAGACTTGTTTTAATAGTTAAAGTTAGAATTTAGCTTAGGGTTGGGGAAAGGTTTCACCTTTATAGTTGTGATGTTTTTTGTTTGCTCAACCTGTGGCATTCAACCCTAACCCTATTCTGGTGCAATATGTCTTTTTTTTTAACTTATATTAAAAACAATTCACTTAAATGTTGGTTTTCAGGGAAACAGAAAATATTAATTCTAACTGGCACCCATCAAAATATGTTCATATTCTTCCCAAAAGTACGTTTTGGTTGCTGTCAGAATGGAGTCGGGGTTGAGGTTGAGGATCAATGTCAGTACATTTTGATTCAGAGAGAGCCTTACAGCCATACCTGTACATTTATATATATGTGGGTTAGAGTTAAGCTTCTTCCACAAACACCAGAGCAGGCAGTATCCACATGATTTCTGCACAAAATCTGAGATCTGAGAGGAGCTAATCAAAATGACAACAAGCCAACTGCTGTTTCCTGGCAATAAACCAAAGAAGTTTGAAGTATATTGGCTCAGCGATTGTCAAGGAAGGTTACAAATAGATGAACAAAGCTTTTGTGAATTATTAATACGAAGAAAATGAAGTAGATATTTTTGGATACTCATACAATTTCATTTAGACACAGTCACACCTCTAATAGATTGCTTTTTTTCTTTGTCATACCTGCCTCGCCAAGGTAAGACAAGATCAGGGTTGATCTTGCGAATGAAATACTCTCCTCCCGGCTGTCGCCCATTGTAGCTTTGAATAGGTGTGTCATCAGAAGATTCCTCTTCCAAAAAGGGTTCCTCTGGTTTTGGCCTCATCATGCCAATGTATTTAGGCAGGAAATGTATGAACACCTGAAAAATCAAATGGAGGAATTCAGTGGTTTCACAGAGGTTTGTACTTTTGTTTCAAGCTGACCCAACTTAACCCAAGCATAAATTACAACTTTATAGAAGGTATCTGTTTTACTCTGTGGCTTTACATGTAATGTCACTTTTCAAACAATGAATTCAGACAAACTACAATCAACAACTACTTAATTTAACACACTTTTGCAAAGTGCCTAATCATAAGAGTCAGCAAAAATTCAGAAGCTAATTGCTATTAGATTGTTAACTTTGAATGTCAACACTCATTCAATTGTATCCATTTTTGCCATCTGTAAGTGGTGCATTTTTATGTCCTATCCAACCAAATTTCATACTGACCTTTGTATTTTTATCATATGCTTACATACTTTCAAATTATAGAATTATAATGTGCACAAAACCCTTTTTAATGAATCTGTGGAACGTGGTTTAGTAAATTCTCACCTGCTTATTCTGCTGTTCTGCTATTCTGGTAATGCAGTTAAACATAATGAACCTTTATTCATTAATTATCAATCACATTTCATGTGTATAATAATAAATTAACACTATACACCCCTCTGCGTTTTTTGATAATATTAACGCTCTAAAGTTTAAGGCATCATATTTAGGAAAATTAACCCAGTATTTTTTGGGAGAAAGACAAAAGTACTACTTCTGGGGGGGAAATGTGAAAAGTTGTTTTTTGTTGTCTGTTTGCAAGACTTGAAAGAACAGTTTTCTAAAAACACAAATGAAATATTCTGATTGGCTAAAATTAGGGTTGGGCGGGGCTAGGGCAGTCACAGATGGCCCAGCAGTGTAAATGTGAGCTTACAGTTAGAGAAAAATAAACACTAAATAAAGTCTTCTTAACCCTCCTGTTATGTTGGCTGTCAAATTGACCCATTCTGGTGTGAAATGATCTACAGTATATTGTGTACTACAACGTCTCTGGAGACTCAGTATTACAGTGACAGTTATTATTATCCCATAAAAAAATAATAATGTTAAAGAGGTTTTTTTAATAATTGGTGTCATGAAAAACTATTATATTTTATATATAGGTCTTTCCAGCGTACTTTTAAAAAAATGATTTACATTTTTTTGTAAAAATATATTCTCATTGAACCATGACCTATAAGACCGTAACTAAACATGCCCTGGGTCAGGAACACAAAACACATTGCTGCACCTGAGAAACTGACATCACAGGACAGTTAAATTACATATAAAGTAACCTTTATGATATCCTCAAAGTTTAAGTATATTCATAAAAAAAATTATATGTGATCCATGATTTCAAATTCTTACATAAACATTTTAGATGATTATTAAATACCTTTCGGACCCAGCTTGGCATGATGTGTGTGCTGGGTGTTCGGTGATGCAGGTTGAGGACTACCACACTTAGGATGACAGAGAAGGTCACCAAGATCATAGTGAACATGACGTAGTTGACAATAATTGGGATGCCGAGGGAAGTCTCTGGGACCTTGTCAGCCAGCAGCAACATGAAGACAGTCAGAGCAATGAGGACGGAAATGGAAAGAGTCATTTTCTCTCCTGTAAAGAAAAGGGACAAGTTGACAAATTAATTATGACAGTAAGGTAGAAAACATTTTGTCTGTAGACAGTGTTATACTAACAAGAGCAGAATTCAAGACATTAAGGAACTTGCTATCAAGAGACTTGCTGATATTTATCAGACTCAGGCTGATTTCCATCAATTTCAGGGTTTAGCAATTGGCTCTAATCTGGTTATACACTGAGGTACTATATCAAACTGCTATCTTTTAGTCAGTGGTATCTTAGGCCGAGCATCCTGCTAGGTTTGTTATACACTTGTAAAAAACCTGAAGCTTTCCGTTGAATATGTTCTGCTGTTTTGTTTGTTTTTTCATTGGCAGTGAAGCATTATTATGAAATGTGTCTGCAAAACGACAGTTAATAACAGTGATCCATCATTCACCTTCAATGTATTGTAGATCAATACAGTTCTTTAAAGGTCGCCCTGACTTACAGAGCAGCTCAAATTAGACACATGCTTATTGTCATGAGATTAGGCAGTTTTTCACTTCCTATGCTTGCTCTTGGCAATGATGTGTAGTCATAATGTCACAACATGTCACATGTGCTGACCTGCTCCAGGAGGCAGGTAGAAGACAAATATAGCCAACACGCTGGTGAGGATACAGGGCACAATGATGTTGATGATGTAGAAAAGAGGCTTCCTCTCTATGATGAGATAGAAGGTGATGTCCTCATACAGGTCCTCCTTAACGTTCTTTCTTGTTGGTTTGTGACAAATGGCCCATTCACCATTCTCTGTCCAAGGTGAGGCGCAAGGAGAAGAAGTTAAATGTAAAGAGGATTTATTCTAAATCAGACACAGTCTGGTAAATAAAAAATGAAGCCACTTAAAAAAATGTACGTACAGAACACGTAAAGCACAGGTGTCAAACTCCAGGCCTCGAGGGCCGGTGTCCTGCAGGTTTTAGATATGTCCTTGATTCAACACAGCTGATTCAAATGGTTAAATGACCTCCTCAACATGTCTTGAATTTCTCCAGAGGCCTAGAAATAAACTCATCATGTGATTCAGGTGTGTTGACCCAGGGGGAGATCTAAAATCTGCAGGACACCAGCCCTCGAGGCCTGGAGTTCGACACCCTGTTCACAAAAACAGGACAAATACTGAAAAGCATCACTACGTGCACCAACCAGTGAAAGCGTTCTCATCTATTACAATCTCTTGGATCTCTTTGCCGTCATCATCCAGAAAGTATTGCAGGTCAACCTCAGAGGAATCATAGGTGTACGAGCGGAAAATCATGCTGCAGTTTTGCCAGTCAAATGGGAAGTACGCCACCTATAGATTGTTAAAGTCAACATATCATTTTGAAGATGACTCTCAAAAAAGCTCCAAGGAGGAACCGTCTATGCACTGGTACTGTTTCAATGGAAACGAGCTTAGACTGTACCTCTATAGAGCAGGAACTGCGGTAGATGGCGGGTGGAAGCCACTTAACAGTGCCGTCACTGTAAACCAAGACGTTGACGTACAGAGCCACATCAAACTGGCCGTCATTACTGAAGGAAGAGAAACGTGACATTTATTGAGGCAAAGTATCTATCCTATCACAGCATCAAACAAATACCAATGTTGGTGCTGATCAATCTGACACGATGTGGCGTGTCCAAACAAATACTATGATTGGTTTGATTATAATCCAAATAGACAAATTAAAAAGTTCATCTTGACAGGAAGTCAGGGGATCATTGAACTTATTATAAATCATCCAAGAAGAAACATGATAGTACTACTCACTACTTGAGATATTCTAAGTCTTGGCCAAATGTGGTGGACCAACCTCGTCTTTAGGGCAGGCACTCTGTTAGTCATGATGCAAGATGTTGTAAGTGTGAGTGCAGTCAGGACACTCACTTGTTTATGAGGTAGATGTCAGGTCGCCACACCTTGTTGGGAGGAATTCTCAGAACATTAATGTCGTCATATTCAGCTGGGTTCCAGGACAGCCTGTAGTCTGTCCATTCCTGCAGGGATGAACAAAAGGAGAAAGGCAAAGTGAATCACGAAAAAGAGTAAACAGCCGAACAGACAACAGGTGATGTCCCTGTCATTCCCATCTTTGATTCTCCAGCGTTTGGCAAGTCATTTAATCCCACTGACATAAACATTCACAATCAAGCACACATACTGTCACAAACAGAGCAGCCATCCTGAAATCTAATCAGCGAGGGCGAGGGAGTGAACTGAGACAGTGAGTCAGAGAAAAAGAGAGATAAAACATGAAATAATTTGTAGTTATGAAAAGTGACAAGTCCGTTTGAGGGCAGAGCGAAGGAGCACAGGAGAGAGGCATCAGAGCAAGGCTCACTAATGAAGATGAATGTTTTCATGCTCATACCAGATTCATGAACACGTTAGTCGTCATCTCGCCGTTCTTCTCATTCTGCAGTGGGATAATAACAGGGAGAGGGGTGGACGTATGTACATTAGTGATGCCACTATATCTTGTTGTGTATGACAGTACCATTACTTTCAGGCCTCCTCTGTTGAAACTAATCGAGACAGATGAGTGTGATCCTGGTTCTATTCAAACTCAGCAATCAAATTACATTTTAGGTAAAAGATAGAGTGCGAATGTATTTTAGACATGGTGTAGAAGCATACAATGCTATGAAGTAATTGTTTCCTTCCTTTCTTTAGCATATTTTTTTTCACAGTTACATATTTCCAATCATTAAAATAATTATATTATTAGATAAAGAAAATAAATACAAATTGTAGTTTTACCCGGTGCTATGTAAAGAAAAGTAATTGCCCCTTAAATCTAATTACTGGTTATGCCCTCCTCAGCAGCATGAACAGCAATCAAGCGTTTGTGATAACTGGCAAAGAGTCTTTCGCAACACTGTGTAGAAATTTAAACCACTCTTCTTTGCAGAATTGTTTTGACTTGGCCACAGTAGAGGGTTTTCAAACAATGCATGGCAAGTTTAAAGTCTTTCAAAAGCATCTTAATTGGAAATAAGTTCAGACTGCTTTCTTTGAGCCAGTCAGAGTTGGACTTGGATGTATTCTGGATCATTATCCTCAAATATGCTTCAGCATTGGACATTGTTCCACCAATTACAGCAAGTCATCCAAGCCCTGAAGCAGCCCTGGACCATCACTTTACCCCTACCATGTTTGACTATTGGTACGATTATTTTCATGAATTCTGTTAATCTTACAACAGATGTAACTAGACTCAGACCTTCCAGAAAGTTCCATTTTTGTCTCGTCAGTCTACAGAAAATATGTTTCAAGGACAATGTGAGATGAGCCTGTGGTGTCGTTGTTGTTGTTGTTTTTGGTCAGCAGTGGTTGTTGTCTCCTCAGAACTCTCCCTGGATGCCAATTTTTGCTCATTCACTTTCCTATTGTTGAAACATGAACACTAAACTTAAATATGACAAGTAAGGCCTGCAGGTCTTCAGATACTGTTCTGGGTTCTTTTGTGATCTCTTTGATGAGTTGTCAGTATGGTCTTGGAGTAATTTTGTTAGGTCAACCAGTTAGAAATGGCTTTGATGTCAACGACTTTGTATGTCAATGGTTTCATTAGATCCTGGCATGTTGTGCTGCTGTTTGAGATCTTTTAGCTTACTTCAGTTTGTCAGAGTTTCCATTTAAGTGATTTCTTCATTTGAGAGATCACGTAGGGCCAAGTAAGTTTGGATAGTCTTGTTACAGATTAAGAAAGGGATTTGGCATTTCATTTATTGTGCTGTAATATTTTTGGATTTGAAATAGCTAAAAATTTAGTTTAAACTGGTACATATAAAGCCAGCCCTATCCGGAATCCTTAACTGGTAGGATGTAGAATATTTTGTTTGCATGTCTGAGGGAATATTTATGTTTATGTTGTTCATTTACCAAGCTGACAAGCTGAGAGAGGGTCATCCCCACCCGCACCGTCACCTTATCCTCCCAGTAACGAGCTGGTCTCACTTTCATGTTGTAGTTTTCAAATAGCTTCTGATGAAGCCTTCTCTCTGTTTCAGAGGCTCCTGCAAGAAGGCATGAATGCAGACACATAGTATAATGAAGAGAAAATGATAAAAAAAAAAACATCTGCAAAAGGAACAGCAGTGATATTAAGAACAAAAATGCAACAAAGAAAAAGGAAGGATGAAAATCTGGTGAAGGGAAGAAGTGGTAAAATAAAGAGAGACAGCAAGGCCTTAGAGATCCTATAAAACAAATAGATCTTTCAATGTGAAATTTTGCATTTTATACATGAAATCACAAAAAAAGAAATGGCACTGGAGTCACAAATGAAAATTCTGCAGTGGCATAGATGGCAGTTATCTCACCAATGCCCTTAAAGAGTCCGTCATCAGGCCTGTTGTTTCATATTTAACTATGCAACTGTAGTAACTGTGCAGGCTACTACAGTTACATAGTTGTAGAAAATTAGAAATGCCTCATCCATGTTTTTGCGTCTTCCAGATTTGTGTTTTACTCTAGTATTAGCAAGCAGAAGATGCAGAAATCTGAGCTCTTTACTTTACATTAGAAGAAGATGACCGGACTTTTTCATCTATGTTCTAAAGTTATCATTCTGTTCTGTCACATAACTACAGTGATAGATCCTCATATCAAACCTGGACAAGTCTCAAATAATGATGTCAGTGTGTGTTTAAGTGATCTCTGTGTGCCAACAGCTCTGTCTCTCATCCACTAGTTTCAACTGTGAATCTTACAAAACAGCAGAGCTGGGAATTAGTATAATGTCTATAAATGCATGTAAATGTTGTATAGCCTATTTTATTACAAATTAAAATAAAACATTGACCTTAGATCTATTACCACTTAAAAGTTTTACGTTTGTTAGATTGTCAGTCACTTGCATACTTTTGGCATGTTCAAAGGTGCTATAGAAGTAAGGTTTAATTGACAAAAAAAAAGCGAAAGGCTTGAACAATTCTTAGTGTATGTGAGTGAGATAAAGTTCAACACAAGCAAGTCACATGTTGATTTGTGGATTTGAGTCACTGACACCAAACCACAGCATGTTTGCTCTTCAGGAATCACTGAGTCAGGCCTGCAGTGGTTTGAGGTTCAGTTCCCACTGAGATTAGCTACGCTAAAAATATCATCTAATCTATATTGTGGACAGACCGCTGCTCTGTTATGTTGTTCATACTCAAACACGTATCAGCAGGCTACTTATTATTATTAGTTAGAATTTACAATTATTCTGAATATCAATACTGCATTTGTGAGATATGGTTGATTTACATGAGCAAATAAAAGTGATAGATCTAAAGTTTATGATTATAAAGGGGCAAAAGACATAACAGCAGTGTGAGATAAGGCAGGATAGGCCCCAAAACACAACTTTATTGCTGGAATTACAGAATACAAACTTAAACCGGGAATATGCTAGGAGTCAAACTAACACACAGGCCGAACACACAGCCAGGGAATGAGGGAGAGCACGAAAAAACACACAAGGAAATGCAGACAGGATAAACACAGGGAATCAAGGCAGAGTGGAAACACCTGGGAAACACAGCTGGATAATAATCTAACAGGCGAGTGAAGCAAACCATGAACCATCAGTTTTACTTCATGAGGATGAAGCACACTGTCAAAATAAAACAGGAAGCATGAGAAACACACACTGAGATTCAGACTGACTAACTACAGGGAACTGGGGAACGAGGGAGCAAGACAAGACATGGAGACACAGAGTGACGGCAAGAGAGCGAGGGACAGAACTGAACATACATAACAAGACATGATAGACTCCACAGGTAGGCAGCACAAACGCTAGGTCAGAGACCCAGGACCATGACAATCATATTTTTAACTATGCTTTTTAGGAAATCCATCCTTCTACTTGTGCCGTCACAGATCTCCAGGTAAAGTTTGCAGAAAGTGTCTAAAACTGTCAACGCAAATCTAAGCTGAAGATGTAGGATCTTGATTTGTATATGCATGTCATGATGTGTACTTCTTGTATACTTGTGCCCAGGCACCTAAATTAGTAATGAAATCTATAATGTCATCATACAAACACATTACACAAGTTTTACAAATACTGTATACTTAATGAACCGAGGCATAAATTAAAATTTGTAATCAACTTAATTTATTTACTGTCATACTGTTATACTGTATCCAACATCTGTTGAAAAGAAAGGATATTTGAAAACTGGAAATCAGCCTATGCTGGAGCTCAAACCAGGACATGAATGCATGTGTCAGATTAACACACATAAAGGAGATTTCGCTCAACCCAAAGCTGTTTTGTTCTTAGTTTGTGTCCGTGAGGAGACAATTATGATAAACATGAAGAAATATTAATCAACATCAGTTTCTTAAATGCCAAAAGAATTGTTCTGAGGGAAAAAACAAACCAAACCAAAAGAAACACAGATAAAGCCATGTTAAACTTTCCACTAGAAAGGAGAAGATATGTAAAAAATAAAGTTTTCATAGGTTTGGTTCTTGAAAACAAAAATATAAAGAAATTAGGGGCGGCTCAAAACGTTTGCGCAGTACTGTAAATTAACTGCATCAGTAGAATTGTACTTAGACATTATTATTATTATTATTATTGTCATTTAATCTCTGTCAAGTTATAATGTTTTAAAAAGACAATGTCTTAGAAGTCATGTATCACAGAAAGCTCAGCATTAGGGACTCTTTCTTTCCAAATATGCGATTAAACAGCATGTGGCAAAGACAGAGGACAGACGGGACACGCAGGAGAGGCAGGGCAGGTGCTGGTGGTGTACGATGGGTAGCAAAGGTGACTGAGCTAATGTAATTGATATGTAGTAAGGGAATAGGATCAAAGGGATGGCTGAGATACCAGCTCCATCGGGGACAAAATTAGATTCTGATTAACAAACAATGATGTGTTAATGTGATTCATTATATGTTCCAGAGGAGAAGAAGGAGGCCACTCTTGTTTTCAAGTGGACAACATCTGTGGAAGGACATAAAATACAGGCTTTGTTCCCCTGGGACTGCAGTTTTATCGCTGATGAAACATACCTGTAAATTCTCACTGGCTGTGTGACAAAAGGTCAAGAAATGGCCACAATCATGGTGGAATTCACCTGTGCAGCTTTTTTTTTTTTTTTGTCATTCATTTATTTCTTTTGCTTTTCACTCACATTATGGTGTCAGGAGGTCAAGGTTATTGTAGGGTCTTTACCTTACTATAGGAAGCGCCTTGAGGGAACTGCTGCTGTGAATTGGCACTATATAAATGAAACTGACCTTGAGCTGAACCTGGTTAAATCAATTTTAATCATGATTTTAACGCCTAGCCTTTCCCACTCAAAAATGGGGGAATTAAAAAAAAGAACATCAAGAAAAAAAACAGGAGATGGAATCAATAGCAATTTAACTGGAGTGACAGGGTGAAGTTGTGGATGTGAGATACTTGTGTGTTATCTGATTTGACTGGAGCTGTCTGATTCAAATTATGCCTCGATTCCTCCACATGAAAACAGATTCCCTTCGATCCCACCAGGAAATAGTTAGCAGTTAGGACACATAGACGAATAGGAACACTGCACCGCAGGTCACCAGCAACCATGGTTGTTTGTTTTTAGTTGAAGTTAAAAGTTAACGGCAGTTTTCCATTTTTTTATGTTGTTCCTTTGTTTGTTTTTTAGTATAATGAACATTTCACTATGTAGGTTTTGATTTAGATGGAAGAGAAACATCATGTCTCTCTTCTGAAAATACTTATTAGTAAACATGCTGCTATTAGTTCCAGGAATGCTCATTAGCCAGATTTATGTGGCCAGATTATGCGACATTTAATCATCTTAGCATGATTCATCTTAAAATCTATTTTTAAACATCCTCAAACCATGAAAACTAGTGTCACACACTGGCATTCCTAAAAACGTCCTTACCAGTGAAAGTAAGGCAAAAGCAGCCACACACGAAGAGAAAGGTATTCATCCTCATGCTAGTGCTCAGGTACATCTTCATTTGTCCAATAATGGCAATCATATCATCTTCTGGACTCTTGTTAGCCAACCAAAGGCTCTTCTAGCAGCCACAGCCAGTCACGTCCCACCTTCACCTGGATACAAGATGAATGGTCACCCCCTAAAAGCTCAGGAAAATCAGTGCCCTGCTCCAGCTGGGTTACAGCTAGTTAACACCCCGAACGGCACACGCTCTTCAGCTAACGACCCTGTCTCCTGTCCTTTCGTCTCTTTTGTGGCCATGACTCTCTGGGTGAAACCATGACCTGATTGGATGGATGTGCTGGGGGGGTGCGCTTGTACTAGGAACTCTGAGGGGCAGGCACCTGTTGGTGCTCACCAATCTGAGGTTAGCACTGCGGGGATTGTGTGTGGGAGTAAGAGGAAGTGGAGGGGGTGGTATGGCTATGTGCTGTGGGTTATGACAATGGAGATATTTTTGGGAAGTTGATTGGGGGGTTGTCGGTAGGCGAAGGATGATTGGTGGTGCTGTAAAGCTGACGTGGGTCATGCTGTAGGTGGCTTCTCTGGCTCTCTTAACTTTTAATGCCTGCTTGATCCCTTCAGCTATTCATCTTCCCTGGTAAATCAAATCTTCTCTACCTCCTTCAGGCTTTAAATATTCATTTTCAGCCTCCCACCTTAGGGGTTGTTGCAGTCATACCCATTGCACTGTGCTGTGTGTGGTATCATCTGGCTGTTATATCCCTGAGTTAAATTGGTTTTCAAATATTAAGCAGTTTTCTGAAAAGGTGGACAATGAAAAAATTATTAAGCTCATTAGTTTTACAGGAATAGCTTGTCATCAAAGTTTTATTTTATGTCCTTTAAACAGGTGTGCAAAAGTATCCTGGGGGGAAAATGCAGTAATTTAAAGGCACTATGTGTGGAATTTTGACTTCCCAGCTGCTGCCCCCTAGTGGTGTGACACCAATAAGAGCAGTTTATATCCACCAAGACTCAAAACTTCATCCATATCATGCAGGAACTGAGCCCCAGGATCCAGAAGGTCAGTGTTTTTAATTTCAGCTTAATATTGTCTGTGTCCTTGCATTGATATAGAACCCTTCCAAGCCCATCTTTTACGCAGATCCACCATTTTTTGAGTAATCCTGAATATAAAGAGAGAGACAGCGACGAACCACCACAAACACTGAATTTATTGTCTAATTTTCCTACAAATCAAAAGTAGCAAAATCGATTATGCAATTTAAAAATAAAAAATGATTTTAAACCAAAACAATATTTCAAGGCCGTGCCTGTCAAAGACGATTGTTATTTCCATGTGCGTCAACGTTTTTTGCGTGACATGGCGTACAAACCCATCAACATTTAGAAAGGTCATCTCCACACAGAAGGAAGGAAGTGGCACAGAGATACAGACAAAAGCAGGCATTCACAGATTTGACACTGATTAAGTCAGCTACAACATGAAGAGGAAGAGCAGGAGTGGAGGGGGGCTGCAAAGCAACTTGCAGTGTCACAGCAACCATAGACAGGCTAAAGTTTAATCCCTACAATATATGAGATTTGCAAAGTTGGGTGCGTAGAACAGTATCAGCTGATCTGCAGGGATTGTAGACTGGGTTTGACTTTGTGACCTCCATCAGTTAATGCTATGCTTATTTATATTTATGTTCATAGAAATAGTGAAATATATTTTTTTTTACTGTTTAAAACAATGTTGATGTTCTGGTAAAAAAAACCTAAATTGATTAAATTATGAAATAAACTTGTTTTGAGAATCTTTCTAAACAGCACAAGTGATGGGGTTTGTCTGTTCTTTAGGTACAAATTCCTATAAAAACTATGGCTTTAGTCACACTGTGATTTAAGGAGCTGAAAATGAAAGGCTCTGCTTCACAGATACTGTGGCGTGATGAAATCTAGAATTACCAAACTTCTTGGCAGGAGCAGGGAGGTGATGCCAATACTGATGGAGAGGTCTTAGTAAAAAGCACCTCAGCATTGCTGATTCTGAGTTTGATGTGAGCTCGAGGCAAGAAAAGATGTGGATGAAAGTATAAAAATGGAGATGGATGTTTTTTGCCATAGAGGGCTGCGAGGACTACAAGCGTAATGATCGATGAAGCAAAGGCCCCCGAGTGAACTCCGGATTCTGCTCTATCTCTGATCCTTCGTGTTGCTTTTTACGAAGCTGATGTCTATATTTCAAGCCTCATAAAGTTCATCTTTCCTCCATCCCCTACTCTCTGTCTCTGCCTTTAAATTTCTCTCCTCTCAGTTGGGTCATTCCATCCTCTCTCCCTCATGCTGGTGAGCCTTTCCAGTGTGAAAACATAAAACTATAAATCAACAGCAGATTGAAACTTAAGTGAGGGGAAAATGCCTCTGACTTGACCTCCTCTGAGCTGCCATTCTCAGCGTGAATACATCATTCAGAATGACCTCTGTGTTTGTTTTTGTGCAGCCTGGCTTCTCAAAGCTACTCTTTCATAGAAGGTTATGTGTTAGACGGGAAAGGGAACAAGTGCAATTCAACCACTAGTGTAGCGATAACGTCACATATGGTGGTCTATAATACTGAGGGGCTATCAGTGCTGTCGCCAAGGTGGGCTGCCGTGGACTGGCAGAATTTCAGCCCCCAAATACTTGCGCTAATAGATCTCAGTGAGAGAGTGTATTTACACAGAGAAATAACAGGGAAGCCCATGCAGTAGTGTCCGGTGACCAGTGCCAACATGTGGGGATATTAATAGCAGGGTGGGCAGGTGATAGCATTCTGAGAACAGATGGAGCCTTTGATATTCTCCCCTCAGATCTCTATTTAAAAGACAAAAGCAAAATGAAAGCACAAGACCAAGAGGACAGGTGTGGTAAAAGGGACATGCAGCATGCGTGTGTCCAGACAAAACGAGGCACCGAGAGGCACGAGTCTTCTCTATTATTGGGAATTCCATTGGCTGTTGGTGCAGCAGATGAATGGGGTTGGTGTGCTGCTCCGTTACATACACCAATGCCTGAAATGCAGAGGATTACTGTGTCTGCAGAAATATACCGCAAAGCATGTGCCACTCTCCAGCACATTCTGACATGGGCTTGCAGCACGCTCATTATAGGGCCTGGTTTGTCTTGGTGTTTATGTGTTAACACCACATATGAACACCCAGTCCTGGAGCCACACTTCAAACCCTAATACAGCTAATAACAAAATAAAAAAATCCCACGCTGGTAGTTTATATTGTAGCATTTATACGCATGTATGGTATGCTAACATTGGTTTAGTAGTTACATTTCATGCAATTTCATCAATGCATTTATTATTTTTTGTTATTTTAATTATTTTAAAAATTTAACATACAAACTGTCACTGGCAACACATCTGGAATTAGGAGAAGGTTTTGGGCCAGATTAATCTTCTGAGGTAAACCTACCCTGACTAAATAGTTTGGAGACTTGTGAAATGTAAGTAGTTTTTCATGTGATGTACATCAGAATTGTTATTTTCTTTGTTTTCTTTTACAAATTCTGGTTGAGTCAGGTAGAGTCAGCATCGATGAAAATTATCGCCCCAAATTAACTAAATTTCACCATAGGATGATGGGTGTGTCCATGTCTGCAACAGAGTGTAACCCTGTTAACATTCTGGTATCCAAGTCCTTACAGTGGAAACCTAGCCATTTATTTTGGTTGAAGCCAAAACTGTTTGGGGTTTTTTTTTTCAGCTGTTTTTGATTTCTGTGTGTCCGATTATTGTCTTTGTTTCTATAATGAGAAAACTTGGAAAGCAATTATATAAACACAAAAATTGCATATTGTAATTGCCTATGAATGGAGCTAGGGTTGGGGTTATCTAGACCATAGACCTTATTTAGTCCTAACTTATAACCCTAATCGTAGGCTTGCAAAGTACATTATATGAATTTGGGGTTTTGAAAGCGTTTCTCCCAAATCTAACAAACACAGTAAAAGTTTAAAATTCTACAAATCTAAAAAGAACACCATAAAATCCATATGGTTTGTCAGTTACTGGCCCTTTAAGTACTAGTACAGCTATAATTTAAAAAGGCATTGTGTGTTTTGTGATGAGGCAATGTATTGGAAACTGTATTTATTTTAACAGTTACAATTGTCTTCCTCTACATGTACATCAAGGGATTCGTAACTTCCAGCAACATGGTTCATGAAAATCAGACACCCCTGTGCTTCAGAAGGGCTTGAAGGGGTCCGTAGGGGTATGGTTGAAGCTAGCATCGGCGAAGATGGCCAGCGTGCCCACAGTGGTGAAAACGACGAAAATCCACAGGAACATCCGGTCCACCACCATTGCCACATATTGCCAATCTTCTTTCAGCTAAAAGAGGCCAGCGAAAGACAAGAGATTAAAAAGAGAAAGAATGGGTACGATAGAAAGAAAATGAATATAAGGAAAGGAAAACAGTGGGAAAATGGCAAAAGACAGACAGACACAAGAGACAAAAAGACAACAGTACAAACGTCAGAAATAAAGCCATGTTGTTCAGATAAAAAGTAGAGAGGAAGAAAAAATGGAAGGACAATAAACATATTAATGCTCTAAGGTTTAAGTAAATGATAGCTCTAACCCTAACCCTGTGATAATATGTTGGTTCTCCTCAAAAATGTCATCTCAAATCTTGACAATTAGGGGACAAAGAAAACTGTCATTCTAAGTGATATGCATTACAAAAACACTTTTGCTTGGTTTATGTTTAGGGTTAGGGGTCATCACTAAAGACAACTTAGATATTCAGTGATTAAGCTTTATCTGTTGAATGCTCGAAATGATCAAACCCTGCCCTTCACTCCAGATGTGACCTTGTGGATCTTAGAAGGTTAAACGTGCTCAAACATTCAAACTTACCGCTTCATAGTCTTTTTCAGCCTGCAGAGCCTCGGCTATGTATGTGATGGCCTCTATGGCTGACTTGAGCTCATCAGGTAGTGCAAGGTAGCTACTGGGGCCATCAATGAACTTCCTCAGGTCTGTGCATATGCCATCCGGCTGGTACCTTCATGACAGCACAATTATAATAATGTTACAGAAAAGTATCAATAATAAACAAAATATTGTGATGGTAAATATATACATGTCTGGACGGATTCAGGAAAAAGACAGAGTGTCAACACCCAAAGACAACAAATGCACACGAGCGTGCAGAATGTAGCGATGTGTGAGCAGGTGTCAGCCCACGCTAATTAAAAGCTGTAAAATAGCTCAGCTTTTATGAGCTGGGCTGCGCGTCTCCTTTGCACTTTACTGTCAACCACAGAGGAATAATGAGAAGGTCAGAGGAGCTCCCCGGGTCCCCCTCTGCGAGTTTGTACAAGGCGCTGCCCTTCACATGCTGACCAAGCTGCTCTGTGTGTGTGTGTGTGTGTGTGTGTGTGTGTGTGTGTGTGTGTGTGTGTGTGTGTGTGTGTGTGTGTGTTTCTGTGTTTAGTTGTTGCCCTTAGTTACCAACTGTCAGCTGCTACTGGGTGCCAGGAGTTATTGGGAGAAGCTAGTAGAAAGGTGTTGTGTGTACCTGTGTGACTCTGCTGTCAGTTATAAATACTGTATTAACGTGACAGTTCTAACTTTAGAGGTCAAGTTATTTTTCATTTCTTTATTTTCAAAACATAGAAAGTTAAAAATGTGTTACGTCAGTTAGTTACATCGCAAAAAGACAATCTTCGAAGGCACTATTATTGAACTTTATAATTTGCAATTATTATTTTATTTTATTTTATTATTATCATGTCTGCTTTCAGACTAGTTAAAACAAAATATCCAAAATGCTTTTTTACAATTGTTTACAATTACAAAACATTTTATATTTATACAAATTAATACATATGTAGTTTACATATTTAAATACATGTATTTATGATGTGAGTAATTTATTGTTAAAGGGTATTTAACATTGTTTTGAATAAATAATGCATGAAATTTTATGACTCTCACCAATAACCTCAGACAAGCCTGTTATTAGAAGTTAATTCGTCATCAGCACCATAACAATATGATCAAACAAGTCGTTAAATATGACCAAAATTTGTAATATATAGTTAGATTAGATCATGCTAACTGCTAACTGAAGCCTGCCTTGTCATTGATGAGTTACCGTTGCTATGACAATCTGGAAGTAAATGTGCTCAACTAAAAATCAAGAGCTCCCGCCATCCAGCCAAGAAGTAACGTACACATGTGAATGCCCTGTTACTACTAGCACTATAATTATGAATGTTAGCCAGCTTTAACATCTGGTCAAACAACAGCAAGTGTGTCAGTCTAGTATCAAAAATGTTAATTGTACTAAAATGGGCATTGTGGCATTATTTCTATCAGTCTGCTCTCATGTGTCTGGATTTAAAAGCAAGAGAAAGACCGTGTTTCTAAGTTAGTCAGCACACTCTCGCACTAGCAACACAACAAGTCTTACACTTTCCTTCTTTTTCTACCCCCCAAAAATGTATGCTCCTGGAATGTATTACTTTCAAATATGTGCTCAATACCATGAAAAAAAAAACATAACTTAACAATTCATTGTCATGAACATAAAAACATTTTACTTTTTCTTGGCTATTTCACAAACCTCTGTTCAGATCAGACCGTTTCTTATGAATTCAACTTGTTATCATCAGGAGGATGGAATTCAGACTTCTTGTTGAACACTGATATAGTCTTGCTTCACACAGTTGATCATTTACATTACATAACTCATTCTATAATTTTTCGGTAATAATTATTGCACGGAATCATGCAGCATGTCCTTCAACAATGGCACATTAATTATGTCCTTGTTGCCTTCAGCAGAAAGACACACTAAGACCTCCTATACTTCTATGAACTTACGAAGTCATACAGCATGCAAGCACATCACAGCTGAAGTGCTTTTCTGAGTAGCATTGCTTAAGTTCCAGCCTAAAACTTTATGGATTTTCACCTGACATTCAATAACCTCTACAAAGGCAGAGCAGCTGCTTTTCTTATGAAACACCTCAAATATTAAACACCTCCTTTAAAAAACATTGCAAAAAAACAAAAAAAAAAAACAAAAAAGATTGACAAGATAGGCAGGTATCCACCAGAGGGCAGTGTAGCACAACGTTAAAAGTGGTAACCTCTCAGGCAGGACAGAGGAGACAGCTGCTTGGTATTCTTTGCATGAAATTAGAGGTTTGCAACGCAGCGCTGCCACCGCTGCTCATCCTGCGAGTGTGGCAGGTGAAGAATCTGTGACCTAAGAAGGATGAAGTCCTAACAGGTTGAGAGAGAAAGGAAAAAGGGAGGGGGAGACACAGTGTGGCCTCTTAACCCCCTCCTCCCTTTTCCCTCCTGTACGGCTCAAAGCAGCACTTCATCAGTGAGAAGTAAATGAGTATTCAGGAGACTAATTCAACTAAAACTGGCTGCGTCTGGTGCCAAGACATGCACTAAACCCAATTAAGAGAGGCGCGCGAATGTACGTGTGGACCCAAGAGAGATACTGCTGTCTCATCAAATTCCTCTAACAGAGCCCCTCCCCCCTCACTGTTCATTCACCTAGACAGTGACTCTAATGTGTCAGAGTCCATTTGGGTGGGTCATTATTGTTTTAGCAAAGATTCTTTCCCTCTAGACATATCTAATTTCTCCCAGGAGTAGAGATTGAGGGACAGCTACACTGTGAAGCAAACTTCATGGTGTATTGTGAGAGCAGCAGGAATGCACGTTAGTTGACAGTGTCGTATGGCTGATTGGGAAGACATACAGGTCCCCACCCTATGTAACTACTTAAGGAAGGTCAAAGAATTTTCATGCACAAAGGATCGAGACTGGGGTTACTGTAATTCAATTTGTTGCCAAATTGTGCAACACTGGCCTGCATCCAGCTCTTTACTCAACATCATCGGCAGCCCTCTGTGGAACTTTTGATGTAAACCTGCAAACTGCGTTTCAGTGGAGGTGTTTGGGTTTATAAAGCTATATATATATATATATTGTAACATCTCAGAGTACTTTAAATAAAGATAAGACCTTGGCAGTAGTCATTACTGACACTCAGACATCTGTCACTGAATAAAACAAAGGTCAGAAAGACCTCACAGAAGGAGATCTTAAACAGCCAATCTGTTCCTTCTTTGCAACAGCTCCATAAATGATGATTTGACAGTTTAAGCTTCAGTAGAAAGGGCATCGATACAATATGTGACAATATGAGACTTCAAAGAAGATATTTTAGTGCATTTAGTAAAATATTTTGGCATAGCAAAAGTACATAAAGTATAGTGGATGAAGTAAAGTGCATTTAAATACAAACACACACAAACTGCCTGGATCTCTCAGTGTAGATGAAAATGGAGATGCAGGAGGAGAAGGAACAGATGTGATGTGATAAACGTTTATTAAGAGCAATGACAGATGGAGGCTGGGGAAACCAGGGCTTCAGACATAACCTACTATATGAACTTGAGCCTTAATTAATGCATTTAATGTGGAATCAACCAGTAACACTGGCAGCAAACCAGCCCCAGAGCATGATGCTACCACCACCATGCCTCACAGCTGGTACAGTGTTACCTTTAAATCCTCACCTTTATTCTAAACATGCCTCCTGTCATTGTACCAAATAGCTCAGTGTTTGTCTCATTGGACCATAAAACCTTTCTGGCTCGGCTTGTCCAAGTGAACAGCTGCAAATTTTAGTCGAGCCTTGTTAAGTTAAAAGACAATGTGGAACCTCCATCTCCGTTTATTAAACAATTTAAGTGTTTAATTTGAGTCTGTATGCAGACTTCTGACCGTGTGGAATAGAGAAACCTGAAAATAGTTTTTGGACCCAATTCTTTTTTTAGTTAGTTAAACCTTGTATTGGATTATGGGATGATACAGGCGTTTCACATGTGTTTATATACGTTGTCTTTTCAATTCTCTCATCAGGAAAACTGCCACAAAAAAATTAAGTATTTTTGTAAAAAAATGAGTGGGCTAAAGTGCATCCATAACTTTCCTTTACACATATTTTGGTTTTGATTTTGTTAAATAAATAATGACACTGTGTAATATGTTGTATTTTTGTCATCTGAGCTTGTATTTAAATATTTCTAGAACCATTTATAATTATGTCCTGATATATAGAACCTTAGAATTGAAACGGGGTGTACCTTCGTTTTCACATGACTCTAAATATGTGAGAATGTGGAGATGGTTCTCATATTCTGAATAAATGTTCTCAGGTAGTGTAGAAAAGCCCTTATAGCTAATGAACAGGGATCTTCTTTCTTCTTCTTCTTCTTCTTCTTCTTTTTCCTTATTGTGAGCCAAAAAACATTGGATAGATTTCGTTGGCCTCACTGAGAGAATATATTATGCAGCACAATGTAATAAATGTGTGCACGTATAGGTGACAGAAGAGGAGAGGAATTACTTCTTGTGCTGCAGCTGCTGCTATTATGGTAGCATTTGGTATCTTTAAATATGTCTGTTCAAGAGGCTCTGTGCTTTTAAACACTGTTGAATTTAATTCAAAGTGAAAAAAGCACCTAAAATATAACAGAATTTTAATTCGTCTTAAGTTGAGGTGGTAAGCGCTAAGGAGGAAACCTGAACTTCTATGAGTGCAAGGTTGTGTAGACACTAAAGTGATATATATTTGAATCCATTTCGACATGACATCAAATCAAATTTGTTTATTCTTAATGTATTTGATCTTATTTTACTGCACAAGTATTGTTTCTAAAGTAATATTTGGAAAACGCATCTAATGATATATATATATATAATGGAATTAAACTTATATACCAGTATGTGATTCACTTCAAGAATCCCATAAGACATAACAGAGACAAGAGCAGTCGCTTCTCATCCTACTAATGATGAATGGAATCTCTTCATATCCATCTGTCCGGGTTTTGCCTGAATCAACAACTGTTCACCTGCTCCACTTCACACATGCTGTTTCTGGGTTCATTTGCTTTTTCTTCAAACATGCAGGCTAAACCAAATCCAGGCACACTCACAACCACGAGAGCAAGCATGTGCACGTATAAGCCTGGCTTTACCTGTTGGGTTTGGGAAATAAAATGGAAGAGTCAGGTTTCCGGATGAAGTATTCGTCAGAAGCTATGCTAATTGCAGTGACTTTTTTTTCCCGGCGGGGTACGGTCTCCAGAGACAGGGGGGTCTCCACCTTTGGCCGCAGCATGCCCAGGTAAGGAGGGAGCATGTGGATGAAGATCTAGGTGGAGAGTAAAGGCAAAGAAGAACAGAGATACTTTTACAATTCCCATTAAAGACAGTTCGGCCAGAAGACTGTTTCCATGTGGAGAGATCCCCAGGTTTTAGGAACAACCTCACCTACTTCCAAGACTGCGTGGAGGGGGACAATGATCTGGTGAGGTGAAGACTCCAGCAACATTTAAAACACAAGGGAACAGCTTTATTTGCAGACCAACACTTTCGGCTTGTGGCCTTCATCAGGGTTGCCGAAACACCATGTTTCCATGCGCAGTCATTTATATATAGGCATGTTGTATACAGCGCTTTGAGTACTCCGGGAGAGTAGAAAAGCACTATATAAGAATCAGTCCATTTACCATTTATCATATTTGTCAGCATGGCTCTGTTCTAGGGTTTTCCTGCTCTTCCACACATACATGCAAAGTATAAAGTGATAAATGTAGAAGCAGGAGCTGGGGTGGAGGCGGTGGCAAAGCAGCTTGCAAATGTGATACTGGGATTTCCTATTCCTATGAAGTTACTTAAATTTGAATTTCTGACTATGTAGACATTAACATGTATTTGATTTTCTACAATTTATCACAGTGAATTGCTGTATTATCAGAAAAAGACTGCATGCAATTGCCAACATGCAACATTTCTGGCAGGTTTTTGGTTGGTATGCTTAAAAATCTCATCTCAGTAAGATAACTTTTGTCTGATTGGCTAATTGATTAGTTTAAATTTAAGGGCATAAGTTGGACTAGAAAAAGTTGATAACTTGCAATATATGTTATTTCAATACACAGTAAAAGTCACATTAATATCGAATCATGAATGAAATATTGTGTTAATATCATATTGTGGCATGTCTGGTGATTCCTGCCCTCTCTAGATTAAATAGTGCACCCTATATAAGATCAGCTTAGCCTTCAGATGCTGTGGACTGGCTCTGAGATTGGTTCATTTGCTGGAATTGTTGCTAGGCTTTTCTTTGTGGCCTGTCTGAGCAAACTCTATGCTCATCTTCAGAATTTAGCAGTTTCGAGATGTTAAAAAACACATTTCATAGCATTCATTTATGAATGTGTAGATGTGCATTTCTTTTGCTGAAAAAAGACCACAGAAGGTTATTTGCTGTATATTTTCAGTCAATAGCTTGTTAGCACTCACACCTCATGGATCCATCATCTTTGCTGGCATTAAAAGTCCATTTGTTAGGATTCTTGTTTCATGATTAAGGGGACAGCTGGAGTGCACTTGCCCTGTATTTGCCTATTAGAGATGACAAATAGTTCTAAATATTGAATTTTGCAGTAAGATAACCTTTGAAAGCAGTTGCTGCTGAATGATGTGGGTGGAGAAACTAAATGGGTAATGCTTTCCAGTTCTTCAAAGTCTCCTTTCGAGGTTTTCTTCGAACACAGTACATAAGTCTGTGTGCTTCAGTGAAGCACTTCAGTAAAGGATTCAGGCTGTCCTGGGCACAAGGGAGTGTAATTAAAACAGAAAAAACAGTTTGATAGGACATGATAAAAATTAAGTGCGTTGAGTCTTCATCAGAAGCTGTCGGACTTGGAGCTCCTTTGATATCAATATCAAGGGAGTCAATGATAAAACAGCACGTCAGGGTTGAACTTTAGCCTTGATCAATATCATAAATGCTGTAAATGGCTGCTCTATCTGCGCTTTGAAGTGCTTTCATATTCTTTTTGTGAAAGAACTCCTGGCTCACCAGTATTGACAGATGGATGTCAATAATAGCCCCCTGGCGAGGAACATAAACTGGCAAAAACTCAATAGCGAATTTAATAGTGATTTTGAGTTCATTTACAACCAAACGTCCACGCCTTTATACAACTTCCAGTATGCGTCAGTTTCACCTGCTGTTTCTGCCATGTTTCCTAGCTCTCAGTCCGAGGCAGCACATCAGTGAGTCACTCGCTGGAGCCTGATAGACTTGACTGAGAGCTCTGAGACATGATGGAGGGTCCTTTTTTAATGTAATTTAAATAAAATTTAATAAACTTTACTATTTTTGTTCACTCCCACAGCAGCAGTAAAGAGTAGATGGTCACAGACAGTCGTTGGTGAAGAAAATGGAGCATTTATAGGAAAATCTTTCTCTCAGGAGTTTGTTCAGGCCAGAGTGGAAGTGGAATGTGTGAGATTTCAAGTCAGAAATGCCGAAAGAAACAGACGGACTGACTGGGACATTTATGAACATTTTCCATAGAAATGATACAATGGCACTATCAATTAGACATTCAAAATATTGTTAGTAATTATCATAGATCAAGCAGAGAAATGTCAGAAAATCCCCAATTGTCTCTCAACTGTCTTCCTTACTGATACTGTGTGACATCTGTCTGATTTCCCACAGCTTGGCTGACAATGAGCAGTGAAAATAAGAGAGGAAACAGCACCTCGGAGAGCAGCACTTCATCTACAAAGACCGTATTCCTCAACAATGGCTGCTAAAACTCTGATAGTATTGCTGTTGAGTGTGTGTGGTGCTCGGGCAGACACCACAGAGAGACGTAAGCTCTGCACTCGAGAGCATCTAAAGCATCACCTGGTGATGGAACAGAAGGAGGAGGTGTCCTAGTCGTCTGTAGTGACTGTCTGGAGAAAGAAAACGAAACACTGAATTCAGCCACCAAGATGGGGGTGGAATAAAGAGCAGCACAGTTAATGTCTACCTAGAGATGGGCTGAAATGCTGAAATAGGATATGACCATATTTGGAGTGTCACTGTTAGCTGTGTCACCAGGTGCATCAGTAATTAACTGTGATATTAAATGTGCAACAAATTTTAGCAAGCAATAATGGGATTAAACAAAAAGCATACGTAGCAGAAATCTGAAGAGCCAGCTGCTTTGTGTCTGAATACAAGCAAACGCTGAAGGAGAAACATAACTTTAGGCCATAAAAAAATTACCCCAGTACATTTCATACTAGTCATTAATAGGGATTAATATTGAAATCAGATATGGAAACAAACACCATTTAACAGGCTCTAGACAGCCTACTACATAAATTTGGTCATTTTCTCTGAGACACACTCACTTTAGGACTGGTGGCCATTACAGGAAGTTTTTTTCCTTAAACTTAAATATTTGTTCTTTTAGTGGCTGATTGACCAGCCTTAAATTAGGCTTTTGAAACACAGAAACAATAAATACAAAATTAATCATTCGTTTCTTTCTAATGTTTTGCGTCCAAAAATGTCTTCCTTTCACATTTTATTGTTTCTTTAATTACCCACGAGTAGGAGTGAAACAGAATCTATGCTCCTCCTTTTCCTCATCAATCCGGCGCCAAGCAGTTCAATCTGCCCAGTGTGTGGGAGCCTTTCTGTGGTGAATGTACCCTGAAACCATGACAGAACTTGGACCAAAGCACAGAGCTGCTACTTACGCCTGTAATTAGCTTCACACAATGTACACTGGGGGCAACAGCAACTGATGGAGGTTAATGGTATAACATGACGTTTAAAGTGTCGAGAACTATGTGGACCTAATTGAGTAGTCTGCCTCGACCCACGCTAACACAGCTTTCAAAGCCAAATTAATGCCAAAGTTTAATTCATGTATTTCAGGTGCACAGTCTTTAACATGATGACCCATTAGCCATTTGAATATACAAGACAGTGACCATTTTCAAGATGCTAACAACTGCTGGTAAAATATAATTTTTTGAGGTGGAGTCTTGATTTTAGTTTTCATGCATGTTCACAATGTAGAAATATACTTCCTAACCCTCAGGTTACTCATAAGCTTCTTTGTATCAAATTAGTAAATTTTTTTCCCCAATTAATTTACTAAAGGGGAAGTAGAGGTACTATGGAGTAGAGGTAGTACTTTTTCTGTGAGCCACATCTCATGATTGGTCTTTTCATGTACAATCTAGTGTCTGAACTCAGCCTGACCCTGTAGCCACCCTTTGCTTTGCACACTCTTGGCATTCTCTCAATGAGCTTCATGAGGTCGTCAGTCTTGAAGGAGTTCCCAGAGATGCTGAGCACTTGTTGGTCCTTTTGCCTTCACTCTGGGGTCCATCTCACCCCAAACCATCTCCATTGGGTTTAGGTCACACATTAAGAAGCCAACAAATTCCACAAATGAACCCCGAAAACCATTTCAGCTTCATCATCAAGCTCACTGAGACGAGGCCAAGGGTTTGCAGCGCTGTCAACAAAGCAAAGAGTGGCTGCTTTCAGGAATCTAAACTATAAAACACATTTTGTTATTTATCACTTTTTTCTTTGTTAGATAATTCCATATATCTTGCTTCATATCTTTCATGTATTCAGTTTGTATCTACAATGTAGAAAGTGTTAAAAATAAAGAAAAACCATTAACTGAGAAGATGTGTCCAAACTTTTGACTTGTAGTGCATTTACTGTACATATCCTAATCAGGAGTTCAACATTTTAACAGCTTGTATGAGGAAGCTGTTGATCAGTCTGGAGATTCTGCCTTTTATATTGTCATGATCCTGAGTCCGTGACTCAGTGATTTTGTGTTTGGTGTATTTATTGTTATTATTTTCATTATTGTTTGTGGGCTGTTTTTGAATGGTTTGTGTTTTGTGTTTTAGATAGTGGGTTTCTGGGTTTGTGCTCCCCCTGTTGGTCCCTGGTGTTAGTGTTCCCCTGTCTCGTCAGGTTAATCAGGTCCAGCTGTGTCTCCCACCTGTGTGTGTGATTTCCCAGTGTCCCTCTGTGTATTTATAGTGTGTGTTTGCCTCTGCATTACTCTGTGAATCCCCTGCGTGCTCTCCCTGCTGTCCTCCCTTCATGTTCAGGTTTGTTGCTCTTTGGTTCAGTTTCTCCCAGTTTAGGTCATCCTTAGTTCTGTTTTGCCATCCCCACTTTATGTTCGGTATTCTTAATAAATCACCCTCACATCTGAATAAGTGCTGCATTTGAGTCCTCCTTCCACACATCACATGGCTGCTGCCCCAGTCGTGACATATATTCCATGACCATCTGACTGAGTACAAAATAAAGTTAATTCACAGAAAGTTAATTCTGTTGATCTGGACGCAACCTGCAAATGGACTGAATCTACTTTCTAAGATTTGTAATAAAAGTGTCCTAAAAAGATCATTGCTTGGCCTGTGACTATCAGGAGTAGTCATGCTTGAAGGAAGTTGGTAGGTGTAGCTTGGTTGTATATATGATTCACTACATTCAACCAATTTCTAATATGGAAAAATGTGTGTCTAAAAATATGGACATTACATTAAAGTCTCTTTAGCATTCGTGCAATGTCTTGTTGCAATTATCTGGTGTTTTTTAACTGTAATTTAAACAAAACATATAACATATTGAAGTCTTGTTGAAGTTGGAAATGCAACTCACCTTGGAGTTGCATAGATAGATAGATGGTCTCTTGGGTCACACTAATTAGAGTTGATGGTCCTAACCTACCGCTTGCTCTACTTCCTTGCTGACAGATAATTCAATGTTTAGAAGTTTTTTTCATTTATCACATAGCCTCCCAATATCCCCCTGTCCTTTCCAGCTCTCCTCACAGACATGCTGGCCACTTAATGACTTGCCTTAACGTATTTTCACAATGCAAATGAAAGGTGGTATTCTGACAAAACCTCTGACAACAGAAAGAAAGATTGCTTGTGCTTCTGGGCTGTTCTGGCACAAATGAACAACCTACAGTATATATGCAAGACACTGTAACAACACATGCTAGAAAGACAAAAACTATTTCTTAAGAGACGCAGATATTATTTCCTTTCAGAAGTCTTGTATGATGATGTGCCAAGCAGGCAAAAATTAAGCTTGTGTGACCCTGAAATGTACGCTCACCTTGCGGACCCACATTGGCATCATGTGGGTGTTGGGAGAGCGATGGTGGAGGTTGAGGACAACCACGCTGAGGATGACAGAGAATGTGACCAGGACCATGGTAAACATGATGTAGTTGACGATGATGGGAACACCCAGCGAGGTCTCGGGGATCTTATCAGCCAGCAGCAGCAGGAACACGGTGAGGGTGAGCAGCACATTGATTGACAAACCCATCTTCTCACCTTGCAAAGAAAAAAAAAACACAATTATTTAGGAAAGTCAGAAACAGCGCATTTCTTGTTCCTGTGTTACGACTCATTAAGCTTTACCGGGCCAAGGTTTGTTCCATTTTCAACTCACTGAGATTCGAGGAGCATCTGGTGAATGTAATTTACTAGCAATGATGCTAATGAAAAATTCATCTCCCATTCTAAGTGAGGCTGATTGGGTGACACAGCATTGGCTCTTTAGTTCATTCCGTGGTCACGTACAAACTGTGTACGAACTGTGTTTGTAAATGACCACAGGCCTGTACTACGAGGCCAGATTTCATCACCAAGGTAACTTCGGGGTTAACCTGCAGTTTTATCTACTGCAAAAGTGGTTCACGTCTTACCTGGGTGCATCACATGATAATTTATGCTTTATGCTTATCTAATCTCCTGCAAAATTAGAGATCAACTTAGTTCTCCAATAGAATTGCGTTACCAGTCCTGGTGGATCCCTCAGACCTCTGTGCACATGCAATAGGAAGATTTAAGGTTTTCCAGTAGCATCTAATGTCTCTTGGTTTCTTAGAGACAACTTTTTTATTTAAATTTAATGTATTTCCGTTTCTGTGTGTTGGCCCTGCGACAGACTGGCGACCTGTCCAGGGTGTACCCCGCCTCTCACCCTATGACAGCTGGGATAGGCTCCAGCGCCCCCCGCGACCCTGAAAAGGACAAGCGGAAGCGAGTGGATGGATGCATGGATTTCTTTCTGTTGGCTGCAAACGATTTACACCAAGACCCAGGGTTAATTTAGCAAGTTGCTAACCAACTCCGTGTGAGGGCTTATCCTGACTGTCAGCGTTGGGGTAAATGAATCCAGATAACAGAAAGGCATCCTGGGTATGCTGAGCTTGCTTCATAGTACAGGGCCCAGAAGGGTTGAGCTGGTAGGTTAAGAGAGGAGTTTGAAGCCTCTCACTGAGAAGCAAAGCATCTCTTTCTGCATCACTGGAAAATTAATGTAAAACTGGAGGAGATTAAAAAAACAAACCCCACGATTCCCTGTGCTGTTTATGTGTCCCTTTACTGCGTGTTCAAATCAGTCATTTCATATGACCCTGGTTCAAGACTAGTAGGAGACACAAATCCCTGTGAGGGTTGCATCAGGAAGGCGATTCAGCAGAAAGTTCCGCCAATCAAATATGCAGATACATCTCTGGTGGCGACCACTTGTGAATACGGGAGCAGCAAAAAGAAGCTTTTGCTTGATCATCCCAATAAGACTCTAAGTGGTTGTTTTTAAAGGTCACTTGCCTGGTTGCTTTTTTCAGTGAACAAAGCAGATGGCACACACTGGTCAGTAAACTATGATACGTTTAGCAGTTATCCTAATCAGACATTTTCTGCAATACTTTTTTCCCACACGTTCCAAAAAATTTAAATAAAAATATTACAGAGTGTTAAAATGACTTTTTATAGCTATTTTAAACTCCTAAAAATAGGCCTACATCATTGTTCAAGAAAATAATAACTTTATCAATGTTTAATATATTTATATACTAAAATACATGCCTACATCAATGCATAATGACAGTATCATGTCAATGAATATTAATGCAGCTATGCAGGAATGCAGTATGTTATGTTCCGATCTGTGTACCTTATTGAGGTTCATGCATATTTGCACATCTGTGGGTTTTGTACTAAGTCAAACTTTAATATCTCAGGTTGTATTTTGCATATGTGTGTCCTAATCAATCAATGTACCCAATGAGCAGGCTTGTCCAAACATAAAGGTAAGCGTATAAGGGAAAGGACAGAGTCAAGCCGATTGCTCTAAGCTGTTTTTCTACCTCCTTCATTTTAAAGGTTATCAATTCAACTGTGTTCCACGAAGCACCTATCTAATCTGAAATTGGATCCGTTTATAATTAGCTAAATGCCTGATTGCCCATTTTAAACCGACCACACAAACTCAATTGGGAAATGGTATTAGCAGTTTTACATCAAGGTGGAGCTTGTTTACGATAACATAACGATAACGATCACATAAAGAGAGCTTTAATTCATAGTCATCAAGTGATCTGAAAGCAATTTCTGTAAAGTGTTTACCTGCATCGGGAGGCAGATAGAAGTTGAAGATGGCGATGATAGTAATCAGGATGCAAGGGATGATGATGTTGATGATGTAGTACAGAGGCTTCCTCTCGATGATCAGGTAAAAAGTCATTTCCTCATATTCGTCATCAAATGTGTTCTTCCTGCTTGGCTTGTGTCTTACGTACCACTCACCACTCTCTAGAGAAACATCCACAGCTTAGATTTCTATTAATTTTAGCGCATTTAGTAATCGTATTACACTAGCAACACATTTGCAAACCACAAGAAGGGGTTATGCAAAAATGCGATGCTTTGAATATACAGTAACATGAAAATACATCTGAAGTACTTCTACTTAAGAATATATGTATCACGTCATGAGTGCTCACCACTGAAAGACTCGTCCAGCTGGATCTCCCGAATCTCCTTGCCTTTTGAATTCAGGGCATACTGCAGGTCGATTTCTGTTGAGTCATATGTGTAAGAGCGAAACTGCATGGTGCAGTTCTGCCAGTCGAATGGGAAATATGTTACCTAGACACAAAAAACTGGCATTTAAACGAGTTGGAAACAACGTCCAAGCTTAGACGAAACTGGATGGAAGATAAATACATAGTAGATCTGTGTAAATTACCTTGACTCCACAGGAACTGCAGTACAGAGCAGGGGGAGTCCAGGTTACCCTGCCATTACTGTAAACCTGAACATGGACATGCAGGGCCACATCAAACTGTCCATCATTACTGAAAACAAAACATGAAATACAAATTAGCCAGTTTTGGTTAATAAATCAAACTATATCACATGTTATATGTTGAGGTAATCTGTAGTATGTTATGGATGGTGACATATCACAGAATTCCATAACATATCTTGAAACATAGCACAAATTGTATTGTGTCAAATGAATTGCATTTGTTCTGTTGTCTAACAGTTAAATAAGACTCTTCTTAGACGAAAAGTCCCTGCATTTGTCATTAGTTTCACTTATATGTGTTGCAACAATTGCTTCTCTAAGATCGTTGCTGATGTTTTACCTCCTTGGCATTGTGTTAACACACAGCTGAATGCTCCAGACCTGCAAACTGCCAAAACTTCTACTTTTTAGAGACACGGTGACACTTGCTGATGATCAGTTCCTCAATTGCATTAGGCTGGTGACATCTGGCTGCTATTTACTGTCTTAATTTCTATAGATGCACTAAGAACATACTCCACAAAGTTCTGTGAAAACTTTTTCTTTTCTTTATCAGAGGTCTGTATTTATATAGTGTTTTGCTCCATGTATGATCTGCTTTGGAAAATGTGTTTTTAAGAAAACTTCAAAAATGTGACAGAGCAATTGAGTAAAACTGTAACAAGAAATGACTTTTTGGTTTCACTTTTCTGTAAAGGTCAGAGACACCCCCCCTCCCTCCGTACTATGGGAAGTAATCTATTTTGTGCTGGAGATGGATGGTTTATTGTGACTTTGCTTTTACAAAGATAGCTGAGAGGGCTTGGTGAGGAAATCCAGGCAGCATAAACTAAAATGTGACAAACAGTGAGGTGTCTCTGTTCCGCAGCTGCACCACCAAGGCATTATTAGAGTACTGAAGCAATAACAACTCTCTATGCTGCTGACTTAAGTTATAAAGTTGCAAAATAGCAGCAATCAAAGTTTGCATCTCAGTTGTAGTCTTTGTTTTGTTATCATCTCAGTTCCTCTGACAAAGCTTAGAAAGAGACAGACAAGGCAAAGTCACGGCTGTGTAGAATATGAACATTTAGCTCCACTCCCACATCTAAACATTGTAATTGGCATTAAATGGAGATTCTTTGCACACTTTTTATGGAGCACTTTGACTGTAAGTGCAGCGCTAATGTTGTTCCTATACTAAGCTGTCGGGCTCATAACACAATGCACAACAAAGACATCAAGTCAATTAGACACAGATTTAGCCTTCTGTCAGTGTACAGTGTTTGAGTTTTATGTCTCTGATAATTGAACAATGAGAAGCTTGTGTCTTTACCCCGGGCCCTCCTAAAAATCTGTCCCTGTGAAAGTGCTGCTGCTAAAATGGCCGGCATTGAACAACCCAAGAGAAGCACGCGCAAATTTGCATTTGTGTGGACGTGCATATTTGTGTGTATCCGTGCGGTTCCAAATGAACGCCTCACAAGCTGAAGTAGCTGAGCGGTGCTATCAGCTCAGTTATTAGGGAGCCATGCTGCTTAATTGCCTATAAAGTGTTGATGAATGGAGCAGTGGGGATATTTACAGTGGTGTTAATGGGAGCGTGTCTGCGTGAGCCAATATGGGGAAAAGACTAAACTTGCTGTTCTGAGTATCTAAATCTTTAATTTAATGCTGTGTTATATAGTTTTTCCAATACACATGAGCACTACTATAATTTACCTGGCCCATCACCTAGTCTCCAGTGGCCTGCAGCTACAAGCTACAGGGGTATGCAATTTGTCCAATTTCAAAACAATATAGTACGATGGATACGGATTTGATATGAAAATATTTACTATATGGCAATACTTGTTTATTTCACTCAGGTAGGGGTAAATTAGTAAGTACAAAAGGTTGCAAACACTGCATACAAATACGAAAATGGAACAAAGAGATCAAAAACGTTCTCCTTTCAAGTCTTTGTTAATGTTAACGTTAATGCTAATGCTAATGCAAGTTGCAATGCTGATACTTACTTATTGATGAGGACGATGTCAGGAAGCCAAACCTTCCCAGAGGGGATGCGTAGCACCTGAATCCCATTGTGCTCCTTCGGTTTCCATGACAACCGATAATCTGTCCATTCCTGTTTGAACATTTTTATAAAAGTTTTTTTTTTTTTTTTTTAATACGTAGGGATGTTATTATCCACAAGTCCATGAAAAGAGTTGGGATTAAAGCAGAAAATGACAGCAAGCAGAAACTTTGCTTTAACAAATGCAACCAATTTGTCATTGTATCACTTTATCTTTCATTTCTCCACTTCTGTAATTAGATTCCACAGGGATGGCTTCCCTGTGCATTTGTCCTTGCATAACAAAACACAATTTGCATATTTTTTCATTTTGCCTGCTATTATGACTACTCCAACTGTTCTACTGATTATATGCACAGTGTGCATTGGCACTGAGCTGTACTCGAAAGACGAGGCCCTGTGTTAATAAACATACTGCCACTGGAGTAGGAGTCACGGATGAGCTGCTCAGTGTGATGTGAAAGAGTTTTTCAGTTAGAGTACACTCAGAAAGCTGTTGGATAATTCATTCTATCGGCTTAAGATTTACTTCAATTTGCAAGTATGACGAGCAGGCATGCAAATAGACTCACCAGATTCATGACAACAGTGGTGCTCATTTCTTCATTTTTCATATTCTGTTATAAAAATGCGAAAATATGCATTTCAGTATGTACTTCATAACTGTTTGCTTCAGATCGTTTTTCATTTTGTAGGGATACAGATACAGAGTTATGCACAAAGAACACCCTAATGGCATTACAGGTTTTGTGGTGGTGAGAGTTTGAAAAATGGTATTCAGGGCAGCTGTGGTACAGGAGGCAGAGCAGGTTGTCTACTAATCAGAAGGTCAGTGGTTCAATCCTCAGTTTCTCTAAGGTGCATGTCAACGTATCTGTGGTTAAGATACTGAATCCTAATTTGCCTGCAAAGCATTCAATGAAATGTGAAAGACAGGTTTTAAAACAGCTCTTAGGTGTAGAAATAGGTTTGTGAATGGGGCTTATAATAAGAAAGCACTTTGAGTGCTCAGCAAAAGCAGAAAAGTGCTGTAAGTACCATTCCCACCAAACACCATCCATCAGTTTAATGGACTAAATCCGGTTAGTCAATCATCAGTCTATGAAAAGCCTTCCATTTGCATGAAAAGTTAGGTTTTTAGGTTGTTGCAAGCATTTAATTGCAAGAATTGGTTACCACTGTTGCCTCATAATAAGAAGGTTTTTGGTTTAGACCAGGGGTGGGGGATCTCCAGACCTCAAGGGTCCTGCAGTTTTTAGATACGTCCTTGATCCAACAAAGATTATTTAAATGGCAAAATGACCTCCTCAACATGTCTTGAAGTTCTCCAGTGGCCTGGTAATGTACTAATCATTTGAGTTAGGTGTGTTGACCCAGGGTGATATCTAAAACCTGCAGGACACCGGCCCTTGAGGCCTGGACTTCCCCCACCCCTGGTTTAGACTATGCTGCCAGCTGAGGGCTTTCTGTGTGGAGTGTGCATACTGCATGGACTTCCCCCCACAGTCAGGATACATTCTACTGAGGTTAATCGAACCTCAATGTGGTTCAAAATTTTTTATTTGTTCGTCTTTCAGCCTTAACCTTTTGATGGAAGGACAGCAAGTACAGTGTGATGTCTAAAAGATATCTAAATAATACATACAGTTCAAAGTTAAAACCAGGTTAAAAGTTAAGTTTTAGTAGTTCATACTGTTAATGTTAATACCTGTGTCATTTTTTGCCTCTGGAAATGTGTTTGTTACATCACTGTGATCAGACAGCCATGACATACACTCAGTGGTGAACTTTGTAGTAAGCGCCTTTATATAGTTAAAACCATTTGTTCCAACAGGCCAGGCATAGCTGGACTGGCCATCGGGCATCATTTGCGTTTGATTTTTCGTTTTTATGGGCCGATGTTTTTTTTGTTTTGTTTTGTTTTGTTTTTGTAACGGCATGAACAATGAGAGGTGATGGATTGGCCAGATGCTGGCTGATGTGTAAAAATAACTCAGTTGTTTGGTGGTGGCTGTGGCAGAGCTTCCACAGAGGCCAGCAGGTGGATGAGGGAAGGAGAGGCAGGAGGAGCAGAGACCCGAGGCGGCCGCTGGTCCGAGTATCAGGTGAACTGAACTTCAGGTAAGAAGTTATGACCTGCAGTCTATCTGGGTCAGATATAAACCAAGTTTAGGTGGAGTTTATTTTCATTGTGCTGACTTTTTACAGTCAGTTACAATAACTCGTACTGCGTGCTAGCTAGCATGACGGAGTTTCTATACAGCTGGGTGGGTGCTTTGATGTTACTGATAGTGAACTTTATTTTATTCATAAGGTTAGTTAGTAGAGTTGCCAACGGCTCCTTAAAAAATGGAATGGTCCCTCATTCAGAGAAAACATTATGCGTTTCGTATTGAGCTGAGAAGGAACACAGTTTGTCCCGTAGTTTAGCTATAATGGAAAAACACACAAAGCTGGATTTATTCTGTGTGTTTATGCTGCACAGCTACTTCAATCATGAAACTGATCAATGATCAGCTGATCGTCTCTCTTGTTTGTTTATCGCTCACTTTGCGCCAGAAACAGGAAACCAGCGGATGTCGCGGTAAACAACAGCAGCACGTTTAAGCTTGATCAGCTGTTGTTAAAATTTATTTAATATTAATTTCTACTATCAGCTGATGTTTGCTGGAGCCACAGCTGTAAAGCTGCTGGTCATGATGTCTGTTTGTATATGTGGTGAGAGGGAAACATGAAGATGAAACCAGGAGATGTCCTTACTGAATCATCAGAGCTGAACAGGTGATGGAGAAACAGGTTTACCTTTTAGGTGACATGAATGAGTTGAAGGGAAGTTATGAACTGTTTATGAGAGACAAATAACACCAGGATCCTTTTTTACGTAGCTGACAGCTGGTAACTATGCAGGGGCGGGTCTAGCAAAGTTTTGCCAGGGGGGCCAGGTAGGGCATTAACAGGGAAAGGGGGGCACAAAGAAATACTTTTCTTTCTTATTCTAATTTAAAATGTCTCGCTTTTAAAAAATAATTATCTGAATCTTACAACCAAAGTTTTTATCTGATGTAAAATGTATAGAAATCATACATATACCAACAAGAGGGTGTACATCTGTTTTCATTCAAAGGCTTTATGCCTTTTCCTGTAATACCTGGTTGGCCCGTCTCTAGTCAAAATGCCTGGGCCGATTTTTTGTCCCAGTCCAGCCCTGAGGCCAGGCGACATGATGTTGCAGCGATAGGCAATACCACTTTATTGAAAGAAGGGTTTGGAGTTGAATCTATTGGTTGAATGAGTAGTTTATGTTTGTGTTTAGGCGCGACCTCTTGTTGTTACAAAGGTGTCTAAATGACTTATTAACTAAATCGACTAGTTAACATTATTGCAGAGGAATTTTTAATGTTTTGGGAATTTTTGGAACCACTGGGATATTAGTTTAGCTTAACAAGCAGGGGACACATGTAGTCTCTAAACAACTCTTTTACAAAAGGACTAAGAGGCAGAGACATGAGGGGATTTGCTGCATGAGTGGCATTTTTGCATGTACAAAATGTGACATATTGCATTGTGGGACTGTTGTACCCATGATGTGAAGGTCAAGTCATGAATTCTGGCTAAGCTTCTCTGCTCCTCGGCCTGCTATTTAAAACCCCAACTGGGACAGCTGGGACCAAAGCATGAGTGGGGGCAGCAAACGTTGGATGTCTTCCTCATGCAAACACATCTTGCTACCTCACACATGTCATTGCCTGCATATCAATACCCGTCAGGCCCAGTGTTAATAATAACTCTGCAGTTACCCAGCTGGACTAGTTACTTGTCAAACTAAGAATCCAAGTGGGTTAGTTTTCAAGACAGGTCAACTCCACAGCTTAAGATGATCCACGTGACGAGAGTGGAAGAGAGAGCGTGACCTTGAGTGGAGGTGTAAGGAGTGTGGGTGTGTGGATGCACTATGTGTGTTGGTTTTTGATTGCCTAGGAGAAGAGAGTAAAGGGGAAAATAAAAAGCTCATAAAGTGACCGTGTGTGAGTGTGTGTGTGTACGGCTTATCCTTTAATGCAGTCACACAGGCAGCAGCCCAATCAGTGCATGCCACTAAACACTATTTCCCAGCATGAATGAATAAAACTACAGTACTTCACTACACCTCAGTAGTAGTACTCATTTTTGCCATCTGGTTGTGAATTTAAATTCAGATGGCACTGGGATTCATTCATGGTGGAGAATATGGAAGATAAGCTTTACATTTACATTTCAGAGGCAAAGCCACAGAAAAACCATCGTCTCTCTGGCTAAGAGTTCCAGCATGAAGTTACTGTAGCATGGTCACAGACTTTGATGTGTCCAATTATGACAGATTCATCTTTTCAGATCTTGGAAAAGATATTAAAGGAATGTAGCTTCTAGGCTAGACAGTTTGAGTTCTTTATGATTAGGCTGTTCTACAAGCTCTCTGAAAAGCCGTCAGTCGATTCAGAACACTGCATAAAGAGCAGTAACAGCGTCTAGTAGTATTAACTTCTCTTCACTGGATTTCTGCTAAATCCAGACTAGAAGTAAAATCCTTCTCATATATAGTTCCTTAAATAATTAAGCTCCATTGTATCTTCATGACCTCATAACGTATTAGCCAACGGAGTGCTTTGCTCTCTTCATTTTGTTCAGACTGCAGTCTTACTTAAAGGACAGGTGGTTGGGAGTGGTTTCTTCCTGTTAAAAGGGAGTTTTTTCTGACCACTGTCACAAAGCAGATGTTCATAGGCAGTCATAGTTTGTTGAGGTTTTCTCCCAAATGCTGTAGGGTCTTTACCTTACAACATAAAGCACCTTAAGGCGACCGTTCTTGTGAATTGTCAGCTAATGGCAAACATTTTGGTGATGGGAATCAGCATTAAACTGGTCGACACTTCTGTTACATCATGCTGGGTTACAGTCAGTCCTGGGTTCTCGAAAGGGGTCGATGGAGACCTGGCTTATAATCCATTAGAATCAGCCCTTGTTTAAATTTATTCTACTATGCTAGAATTTAGATTTTTTTTAAATCTGCAGTGACCTGCTGTTTACTGTGTGTACTTTTGTGTTGGGGTTTTGGGCCTCACCAGTCCGACGAAGGATGTGAGGATCATGCCCACGCGAACCACCACCCTCTCTTCAGGGGTACGAGCTGGTCGGACCTTAAGGTTGTATTTGGAAAAGAGGCTCTTCATCAGAGTATTCTCTGATTCAGTTGCACCTGTAATACACATTGACAGAGGTCAGTTGTGATGGCAGGCTTCAAACTGAAGTCCTTTAATAATTGCTAGTCATTCACTCAGATTTAGCTAGATATGTCCCTCCAAAAGCCTCAGCAGCTGCTGACTGCATTGATGCACTGAATTAATAAAGGAGTTCACTCACTAGATACACACTGGTGACACTGTGTCGCCGAGCAAGCTGTGCTGTGCATCAAAATATAATCAATCGACGACTGTCTCAATACCGAAGTCAATAGTGTGCAACAAGTGGATGTTTGATAAAAAAAAAAACATTGATTATTCATTTTGATGATTACTATAATGTTTCAATGTAAAGTTCCTGATTGTTTAATACCAAAAATTCTGTTAACTGCTTTTACAGACCAATTTCCTAGGTCCAGCCAAGGGGTGAAAGGTCAGCTCTATGTCTTTCTGCTTTTTGCAAATTATGCTATGCTGTTGACTTCACTGACCAATGACCCCCCCAAAAAAGTGACTAGATGACAATTACCACCTTCAAGTCCAGAATCAATCAGTCAGACCTTTCAGTCAGAAAAGCTGTACTGCTATTGGATGTGGATAGACTGCTTTAAGTGGAATTCAGGATTGACAGATGGATTGGCTTACCATGTGAAGTAGTAGTAGTGCATTCCCACATTATTTTCTCTAATTAAAACAAGTAAAAGACATGTATTTCAAATAAGTTCCTGAGGTTCTAAGGTCCTGTTTTTATATCAATGCTAAATGTTTCGCTTCAGGTCTGCATAATCGCAAACCTACTCAAACACTTGCATTCCATTGCATTTTCATGCGTAATCCCTGATTTACTTGCAACATTTTCCTCCTTGGTGTTGGAAGGTTAGAAGCATTTATAATCAGCAGCTCTTGTGACGCAGCATTCATCACGTCTGGCATTGCTGTGGCCCCAGCAGGATCTGACCTGACAGGAATAAATGATGACGATCACCCAGCAAGGCACCCCATTAGCTAGGCACAAGGAAGCATGGCTGCTGATGGAACGGGAGGTGACTATCGAAGGCCAGAATTTAGCATTTTTTATCTCACTACCCAGCTGAGATCACTTGGTAAATAACAAGACTGACTAAAGAATTAGCTAAAACTAAAATACTGGATGGTTGTATAACCAGTTAAAATTAAAAAGATTTTGTACTATATTTTTCTTTTATGGAGAGAATATGTGAGTATCTGCTTGAAAAGACCCAGTTATTCAGCTTTTTTCTCATAAACTCACCGAGTGAGTAGTGGCTCAGCAGTGATAAACATGGTTTAAAATTGAAACTGACTGCAATAAAGTTCAGTATACACTACATCCTTCTCAGAGTGGTTTGAGCGCACTGTCCAGTAACCACCGGGCAACTTACCAAATAAGTTGTATGAAAAAATGAAGTTATTGATTTCTCTGAAGAAATGTGTTCAACTTAACTGGCTGTGATTCTCTGCGACTGTCGTGTCTCTGATCGTATTTTCTTTAGTTTATAACTGCTGTGAACACAAGTCCTTAAAGATGAAATCTGCCATTGTGTTACAGGTATTTTGTTTCGCTATTTCATCATTTCTTGTTATCTTTCAAAAATGTCTTCGGCATAAATTCATTAGTGAGTTTTATTAGTTTGTTGATGCTATGAGATGCAATTTGAATGAGAGGTACATATCATAAATCTGTCATGGCTCCCTACGTGATATAATCCCTGTGCTTAACTGTCCCTGTATGCCACGTTTGTCACTCTGGAGCTCGTGTGGATGCCGCACCTCGATCCTCTAAACTCATCAACTTTAGCTGTACATCAGCTCCTGTCTGCTAATGAAATAAGTTTGTCACTTGTCTCAATAGCAGACACGTCTTGGCCTAATTAGGGCTACTTCCAGAACGCACAGCACGATTACTGTACAGTAATGGTAAACTCGTATGAGCCAAAGTTCTTGAAGGGACCTAACATGGGCTACAAGAAGTGTAATGTGGCCCAAAAGCTACAACATACCTGCAACAGTACCTGCATGTGACCCACCAAAGGTAACCCTGTGACTAAAGGCAGTCAGACTTACCCGATGAGCCAATGCCGTCATTCACGACTTGTTGTGGCCCAAAGAGGTTTGCAAACGTTTGTTGCTATCTGAGTACATTCCATTACATGCTGCTCCACAACACTTCTCACAGTTTTCTTCCCTCACCAATCAACCAAAGACTAGCCTCCTCCTGTTGTCAATCTGGAAATAAACTCTTACATCTTTTAACATTTATTGCAACCAAGAGGGAAGTAATGTTTAGCTCAATGTTTCAAATTGGGACTTCAGAAACCAGTGAGCGACATCACAATAGCCACATCCATCTTTTATATTGTCTGCTTTTCAAATGCTAGCATGCTAATGTTAACAGATCAAAGAGGTACAGCCTCACAGAGCCACTGAAGGTTCTCATTTTTATGTTTAATGACCATGTTTCTGTGCTCTTTCTGTGCTCTTTACACAGTTACACCAGCACGATATGCTACATGTCTCTCTTGATAAATGACTCACTGTGATTTCTGCCATTTTCTAAATTAGATAAGATAAGATAAGATAACCTTTATTAGTCCCACACGTGGGAAATTTGTTTTGTCACAGCAGGAAGTGGACAGTGCAAAAGTTATGACGCAAAAATTAGAATACAATAAGAATAAATACAGTACACAGCTGTACAGAATAGAATAAAATAATATACTATATACAGTAGAATAAAATAGAATAAAAATATACAATAAGATAAAAATAGAATACGAATGGGAAAAGACATTAAACACTCAAACCAGATTGATAAGCTAAAGAAACATGAGCAGAAGAAAACACATAAACTGCTGGGCCTGTATTAATGTCTAGCCTACGTCGAAACGTGCTAATAAAACATTTTTATTGTACAGTATTCCAATAGGAACTGACATCGTGTCAGAGAAATCATATTCTCAAGTATTACTGTAAAGTTTTCTATTTTGAATTTGTTCTTTTCTGGTACTTTCCATTCTATGATCTTATTGTACATTAGATACTACACGAGTATTCATGTTGGCCTTGCATGACAACTAACGCTTTGTTACATGAGTATACTGTGTCAGCCTGTACTTACCTCCCAATGTGCTCAGGCTGTATAAGCAACATGCCAGCAGGAACAGATCCAGGCTTTTCATGATGAGGCCCAAAACCAAACTCTTGTCCTCCCCGGAAATAGATCTTGAATGAGTGAATCAAACTTCTTCCCTGCTTAGCTTTCTTTACCAGTTCAGCTCACTGGAACTCTACAGCTAAACTTTGACTTGGTCAGTACTCAGTTTGTACTGTTGTTGTCTGTCAGTCAGGCAGCCATGCCAGCTGCTGTGTACTCCAATTACCTCCAGGAAGGGGTGGGGCTTTGGTGAAGGGGTTGGGGATACACACAAGCATCAAACTGGCAGAAATTCTTGTGAGGTTTTATATGCAAAAAAATTGTATAATTTTTTCTGGTATATTTCCTCTTCCAAAACCCTCCCCAAAAAGTTAGATTGCTGTTTATGTAACTGTGAAGCTAAAAGAGATTCTGAGAATTTTGGGGGGAAAAAAGAAAACCTATGAAATGATAGTTGACAGAATGACAGTTCAGCTGTTTTGGCTTTCTGCTTCAGAAAACCATGAAGCCAGTTCTGTAGCCACATTATAAGATAAAACTCTATAATTCAGAGGAACAAAAAACATACATAAACAAGGTCCAAAATTGCATGGGCCTCAAATAATCTGAAATAATCTGACTATTGGATAATAATTTAAAATTATTTTTTTTGGAAAGGGAACAATCAGGTTATTATCAGTCCAAATGGCATGGATAACGTTTGTACCTGTAAGGTTCATATTAAACAATATTTACAGGTTTTAGAGCAACATCCAGTCCAAAGGTGACACGATGAAACACAATGTCAAACCGCATTCTGCATGTATTATTATATAAAGATGAAATAGGTGCTAAACTAAGCTGCCTGCTGACCAGACCTGTCACCTAACAAAAACATGTCGTGCTTTATGAAATTAAAATATTAGACCCAAAAATGTTGAGATGCTAAAATCCTGGAGAATATCAGACATTAATTGGAAAACATTTGGATTTGAAAGCTGTTTCAGTAAGTGCTCTCCTCAGCTCCAAAACTCTTGAATGCAAAAACACGCTGGCAGCTGCCATCTTAATAATAATAACTTCTTGTTCTCAAGAGTTTTCACTATCAGCTCATTTGATCTATTTAATGACTTTCTCTTTTCTTTTTCTAATCTCATGACCCTTTGACCTAAAATCCTATTTTGTAATATGTCACTGAGACATTACCTCCAGCTGAGTCTTCTTCCCCAGCTTCCTCTTGCCTACACCCACATGCTGCGATCGCTTCCTTTAATTGCTTAACCTATTTGCCCAACTGAGGGGTTAAATGATCCTATTTAAACTGTATTTCAACTTTTTGTGCATTCAGTTCTGATGTATGTTTTGGTTCTACAGGACACATGCAGAACCAACAGACCAGACGTTAGCAGCTGTTATTCTCTCAGTATAAAGTCAAGTTGATGAAACACTCCAGACACTGCTGTATTTTCTGATTTGCCCCTGCAGTAAAACATCTACATCCCCGTCTTTATGTCCCTCCTCTCATCTCTTCATGCCAAACTGCTCTTGCACACATTCGTCGACCATCCACGCCACCATAATTTATGACACACTGTCACTGCCATTTGGCCTGCTGCCAATTTAATTACCATAGAAGCTAACTATTAACAGCTAGCGCCCGGTGTCAAGTCACACATCACGTCACCGGTCAGGGGAGAGTGCATAAAGCTTTTTTTGGCAGTAACTCAAACTAGGACTTCATGAGAGATGATTATTTAATTCTGAAGTAGTTAAGCTAAATTACATTGATTGTTTATCTACAAATATGAGTAAAAAGAGATTATGTGTTAACCTGTGTTGTGTAACTTTATTCTAAATGTTTGGGGAAGTCATTATAGTTTATTCACTGAAAGTGTCAACTTTCCTCCTTTTTGTTCATCTGTATGTATATTAAAAAGCATCAATTTAATCATTTTCTTTTTATCTTGTTTTATCCTTTCAATTTTTGCATTTTCTTAGAGTTTCAAAATAAAAGTCTGCCAACTGCCAACCGAGGTCAACTAAAAGTGCACTGTAAAAACATTGGAAATTTTTTACAGTGCAAACAAAGTACACGATGTGATTTTCTTGGCATGTTGAAGCTAAGCTGCAACCTTTGAAGAAGAAAAATGAAGCCAATGCAGATCTTTTTGCTACTTACTTTCTGTGCTCGAGTGAAATTCTAGTTACCTCTGCCAAGGAGGTCATGTTCTTTGGTAGCATTTGATGTGTCTCATTATTCTGTTTGTAAATACCATAGGCTGAAAAGTGTTGAATAAATTATGATGAAACTTTTTAGGGGTCTAGAGTAGGGTCATGTTAACAGTCCATTAAAATTTGGCTTACATCCACTAAAGTCATCCAAAGCAATGATGTATTGGTCAAAAACAGACAAAAAGCCTTATAACCTATAGCTAGCGTCTTAATAACTGTAGTGTGTATTATCAACATATGCTGCATAAAGATTCAAAAAATCATATCACATTTGATCTCACTTGTGCGTTTTAAATCTGGCTTTCTTTCAAGCTGAACCCAAAATGCTTTATATCTTTAAAGAAAGTATTGTCAAAAGAAAGAGTGCCCAGTTAGTTAGAAATATATTTTAGAATAATATTTAATAAGCGCAAGTTATTCATGTTATCCATTACTACTCCTACAGAATGTTTGTGGAATCAAAGTAACAGTTTGTCATGCTCCTTTTATCTGATTTTTACAGCACTGAAATTTTAAAGTATTTTTAAAAGCAACAAAATAAATTTACATAAATAAAATGTTGTTCCCATAAAAGTAAGTATTACCTTGGCAGAGGTTTGTGCTTTCCGAGTTCTTCTTGTGTTTTATTAGTCTATTACTTCGACTGGCTGTGACTGTGAGTGTTAGAGTTTATGAAGACAGCTTCCTAACCAAGCTGATAAATTCACACTCTACTCTTCCATCAAATATGGTAACATTTAGCTCCCAAAAATGGCTAATGTTGAGGTTTTAACGTGTGGATTACATAACCAGGGGGCATTTACATCCATCTTCCATACTATATCATATTGTAAACTGTAGTGGAGCCATCTGCTGCAGTCTCACTTTGGGAAATAAGGGCACATCCAAAAGTATCTTCTTGCTCATTAAATGGACATTAAATTGACTTGGTTTGCATGTATTGAATGTATATGTATGTAGATATTTAGATGTTTTTTTAATAAATCAAACATAGAGCTAATAAGCAGATGTAATGATACAGAAGACCTGATTAAAAAGAGAAAAAAACTCCAGAGACCAGTGTTACAATCATACAAATATATTAGTTTGTTTTATTCAATTATATCCAATAATATGTCTCCTTTGACTTTGGGTAAGTTATTATAGAAATAAATACAGATCATATAGCAAATGCAGAGAGAAGAGTTTGGGATAGTAGAAGTGTTGAAGAGGGGGAGGGTCAAGGGGTTAAAGGGTGTCAAAGAGTAAATATTGGGGAAGGATTGTTTCTTTGAAGGTGTCCAGTAAATGATTGGCGCATGCATGCTTGTAGTCAAGCCCATCTGTGATCCTCCATCTCAGCCCACAAGTCTGAGTCTCCGAACTCCCAGGGCTCTCTGTAGTCCTTTTCAGCTCCTTCCTCCAAGCGATCCATGGGTTTGGATGGTGTTTCAATGTTGTGTTGTTCCACCTTGCCAGCAACAGGGGGAGTTACTGCACCCCAACCACATTTGCGTGTATATATTTATATAGAGAGATATATAGATATATTTTTTGCCCCATTTTGAATACAAAAATAGTGTCATTGTGGCTTTGATAGCTGGAAGACTGAAGCACTCTTTTTGCATTTGGAAGACAAGAATATGTCTAACATTAAAATAATGTTAAGATGATTTCCTTAAAATTCTTTCTGGAAGACTCACAATAAGTTGGATCGTCCATAAAAACCAACAGAACGGAAAAAAAACGAGTGACAGATTGATCAGAGAATAACACACAGACACAAGCACACACACACACGTGAAATGTGTCCGTGTGCATGTTTGAAGGACAGATGACAGTGAAGGTCAGAGGTTGGTCAGTCAGGCGGTACGTGACAGACAGGTGGATTCTGGGGGATCGGAAGGAGAGGGTTTGAAACCCCACAATTCTCATTCTTTACAGATCTAGCTTTTTAGTTCCACAACATGAGAGTAAAAGACACAGATATGTATTTAAACAGCAACAAAACCACATCAAATCAGCAAACACACGTGAATGTGACTAACCAGGAGTTACGTGGATCACATGTGACCTCACATCATATCATTATAAATCACAGTAATTCCACGAGAGTCACCCAAAGTACTTAGATTGACAAATGACACTTTAGAAAACAGGTAAAGAAACACTACAGAGTAAAGTCACCACTAAAGCGTGGATGGTGCATTAGCTTGTAAGAGGTGAAGTCCTTCCATGATCTGCTTGTAAAGGTCACCCGATTTAGCCACATCTGCGCTGGCTATGCAGGGGGTTGTGTGTGTGTGCGTGTGTGTGTGTGTGTGTGTGTGTGTGTGTGTGTGTGTGTGTGTGTGTGTGTGTGCAATGCAGATGTGTTCAGAGATCGTGGGGTGTGCCTTTAAAAAAAAAGAAAAAAAAGCAACAACAAAAATGCAAAACTTTAATAGCTGAAGTTTCATTAATGCTTCTCAGGGTGTGACATTGAATACTCCAGCTCTCAAATTTAAAAGCTTTTTTTTTTTTCATTAAAAAAAAACACCCGAGGAAGGCGTCACTCTTTTGTCAGAGCACGTGAGTCTCTCTCTTCCTCCCTTTCTCTTTTTTTTGTGTTTTCTGCTGCATTGCAGATGTGGTGAGGGGACTCCACCTCGAAGTAATGCACGCACGCACGCTTAAACAGCTCTGCTAGCTCACACACACACACACACACACACACACACACACACACACACACACACACACACACACACACACACACACACACAAAAGAGGGCAAAGTGTTAGAAAAATAAAAGCTTTAATAAAACACGCAGTTGTTTTCTCTATATCAATATTTCTCCCCTTTTTTCCACACCCTCCCAGATAATGTGGCTGCACCTTGTTAATAAGAGTTTATTGCTTTCTGCCCAAGGACTCATGCTTATTGATTTGGCCTCTTGATTTATTCTCTCTCGCTCTCTGTACTTTATTCTCTCTCTGCTTGGATACACATAAAGGACACACAGAAATATTCAGTAACAGCTACACAAACATTACATACGATTACCAGAATTGGCAGGTGGGATATCTGCACACACACACACACACAAACGCGCTGCCTCCAGGTCAAAGGGAAGTCATATTAGCTGTATGCAAAAAAGGCTCGCCGAGAGGAAATGGAACTTCAAAGAGAGGCTTTGAGGCGCGAGGTAGCCACTCTACAGTATGTGACACATGCCTCTCTCTTTCTCTCTGAGTCTTTCACAACCCCAGATGACCCTCTCACTCTCACTGCAGTTGTAATTCGCTCAGTAAGCAGGGAGGGCCCTGACTCGGGAGAAATGGGAGGGAAGGGAGTCCCTGGGGGGAGAGGTGTGTGCGTATGTGTGTGCGTATGTGTGTGTGTGTGTGTGTGTGTGAAGGGTGCAGCTGCATCAGATAGACATCATTTAGCTCCCTTCGATATCTAGGCGCAAGCTGGCACACCTTCCCCATCCCTTTCATATATAAAGAAGCAGTGACGCCGAGCTCACCAAAGGGCCAATATTTAACGCTTAGAGCTGAATCCGGAGACATTCATCAGCCAGTTAAAAGCAGTAAATTCAGCCACGGGAGGGGAGTGGGGTGTCCACTAATCAAACATGTGCTCAGAGAGACGGCCGCCGAGAGAAATGGCAAACTTTACATCCTGTAATTTACGCAGAGTCGTTTGAAGTGAAGCCTGAAGGCTGAGAGCGGACGGGCTGATTTCAGGCTTCACAAAAGACTCGCAGGACAGAGACGGAGGGAAAAGAAGGTGTGTACGAACACAGCATAAAACACACACACACAAACCGGTGCAAACACGTGTGGCCACACAAACCTTCCACCCGCTATAAATGATTTAGTAATTCTACTTTTCTGCCACCGCAAAAGTAAAATCAATAAGACTGCAAACAAAGCAACATCCTCTTTAAGATCACCACCATAGCTTGAAATAGACTAAAAATAACAGATAAAACCTTCCAGGATTAATCTGATTACTTCTCAGTTGAGCTTAAAAAATCACAATAATGACGATGATATTATTAACTGGAAATCTGAGTTGTTACTTAAAAAATATGGGTACTAACATCAGTAATCAGGCTGCACCTAGTATTTAAATAACAGTCGGATAAAAATCAAACGTGTCTACATATTTTACAGTGGGACACTCAGATGTCTGATCCAGCTTTAAGTGGCTGATGGATCATTTCTAATGGATTGCATTTAATTGCTGAATCGACACACACACACATGCAAAACACACCGAAGTTTAGTTAGCTTTGAATCCATCATTCACTAGATGTCAGTGTTGACTGACGTGGGGTCAGTGAAGTGACAAAGATGGACTGGTTTAACAAAAGTTTGGCTTTAAAGTCACTGTATGACATGACATGAGGCATGACACAAAATGTTCACAGCCCTACACTTACTCCATAAAAATTTAATATTTTTTTCCTTATTTGCTCTCATGCAGCTTTTATTTTGAAAGTTAAAGGGTCCCTCCAGTGATTTTCTGTATTTAAGAGTCAGGAAAGGATTACAAAGGGACTAAAAAAGATATTCTCACTCTCACGAGACAAGATCCAAACTAGCAGGACCCCACATTTCCCATATTGACACCTCTCCACTTTCATTGCTTCTTACGTTCTTTTTAGCTTTGTATCGAAGGTTTTCTGTCAAAAGACCACAAACCTAAAAATGTGGATCAAGACTTCATCACAGTCACTTTACCCTCAGAGGTGTGTTCAGACAGGACACGGGGCACCTTTTTGATGAGATGAGGACTGGTTTAGCAAATGAAAACAGCTGTGGGCTAAAAAAAAAAAAAAGCCACTTTTATAATTACCTTTATGAATGTAGCAATATCAACAGTATTCTAGAATAGAGGGTGACCGCATAGTTCCTGGCAAGATGAGCTAATGGCTGAGCTCTCACATAAACATAAAGAGATGCACTGGCTTGCCCTTAACTGGTATATGCTTTTTACTTGTTTGTAGAATAGTGCTTTATAGTTAGTTTTGTAAAATGCTTGAGAAAAGATTATTTCATTTTTCTTATCCACTGATTTGAGCTTTAGCATTTTTTCTCTCTACATGGGATTAAATCTTGGAACTAGCAAACGAGACCGTCATGGAGTGAGGTTTTGGGTCATTGTCCCAAAGGCTTTTATAGAATCTGACGTTTTCGTGCAACCAGATAAGTCGCCCCCTGCTGGCCATTAGAGAGAATGCAGGATTAAAGCACTCCTACAGCGGCTTAACTTTGCACACACGAGCCAAGTTTGTCATTTATCATCGTAACACCAATGCCTTTGGTGGTGCTCTGTCTGAACACACTTTCAAACGTTTGTTTATCTATATGGTAAAAATAATCTGTGCGAAATCCGTGCTCCTTAAACTCTTCCACAAAGATTATTTAAACTAAAACTTTAGCCCTTAACCCCTATTTAAAACCCAAAAACAACAGTCATGAGACATACATAAAAAAATATTGGAACATAGATTTCCCAGCCCTTAAAATACATAATATAGATGTTACAAAAGCTCTGTTTGTTGAGTTACTCCTCTCTCCATCTAAGAGAATCCAGTCTCAGACAGACTTGCTTCAGTTCTGGGAGGAGGGAGCCTCTTTTAATTAAACACTAATTACTCTGCAAATAATAGTCAAACACTGTGTTCTGGATCGTGTGATCCAGGGAGGGTGTCTGGTCAAACACATCAACCTGAATGTCTATTTAACAGTTTAATTAAGGTCTTCAGTGTGAAAGTGAGGTTTTAACAGTAGCTTAAGTACAATAAATTAAAAAATATATATTATTTTAAATCATATATGTATTGAATCACCTTCCTTTACCCCCTTCACCCCCTCTTTTATTTATTTCCTCTCTCTCAGACCACTTCCTTTCCTTTAAGTATTCACTGGATTGCTCTTTCCTTCCTTCCTTTCTTCCTTCAGGAAAGCAGAGGTACAATTTGCTTCAATTCTCAGGTAGAAGATTACATTGCTCAGCACCCTCGCCTCCATCCTGATTGGGTTATCAGCTATTATTATTTACAACCACAGGTTGCATGGGGGCAGAGGATTACGCGCATAAGGAGAAGCGCTAGTAAATGTGTGTCTTCAGGCAAGAGTGTCCACCTTAGCATAATTCCCTTTTAAATCTCTTTTTGTTGTGCTCATCATCATAATTATCCTCCCTAAAATTTTCTCTTCTTCTCTCGCTCATTTCTTTTGTTTCTCTCTCTCTCTCCCTCTGCCCTGATCATCAATCTCGCCTCGCCTTTACCTCCCGAACACAAAGGACTCCCTCGCTTCCCACAGTACATAAACATAAGGCAGAAACAATTACCCTGCCTGGCATATTGTAGCAAGTTTGATATGAAAAATGATTGCTTTTTGTGTTCAATGGAAACAACAAATGGAAATGCACCAAACAAGGTCTTCGGAAAGAAAGGAGTGAAATATTAAATATGGTAGTGATTTTCTTTACCAGGACAGGCTAACAAATAAACACTGGCAAAAAGATGTGAGACGCTTAAGTTTCCTTTTTTCAGAGCCATCATTCTTGTACCATCATCTATGCTCATACAACTTTAATTATTTTTGCCTCAGTCATATCATGGGATCACAGTATATAAGCTCTAAATAATAACTGTAAGGACGTGACAAGTAAAGAAGGCTTGAATTCCTCTTTGCATCAAAATCAAACTCTCTGGGAGAGATTTACTATAAAACCAAACCCCCAAAAAACTGCAGAGTTCATTTCTAAAAATGTTAAAAATTACATTAACAAATGATTCCCCGGCATTAGTTTCTTTAGTTAATGTTACAGTAATTTAACTGAGTACCCTACACTAATTTATGTATGAAGTATGGGAACTTTATATGAAAAATCAGTGCAGAAGAAGCTGAAGAAATCCTGACTTTGGTTCCAGCAAAACAGATCATTAGTTACTACATTTCCCATAATGCAATTTGGTGGCATAGTTCATTTAATTGTACTCTTTCAAAGTACAATCTGCTTCCCAAACTGATATCTGGGAATACATGCAAATAAAGTCTCTGAAAATGTAACTTTTGAAACTCCCAAACTTATACCTGAAAACTACAAGTTTAAAAATTAAAATTAAAATTTTTAAATCTTTCTAAAATCAAAGGTTTTTATTCAAATAAGGATCACCTTGGTATAAACCGAAGGTATATCAATCAACTAAATTTGATTTGACCATTAAAGTGAACCTTTTACATTGTACTTACATGATAAAATAAATAAATAATAGATGGAAACTTACATTAAATCAAATTACTTAAAGTCAGCATTTTGGGCATTTTTTTATTTTTTGAGTATTGCTGCCTCATTGCTCAGGGGGAACTGAGCTTTTTCCACCAGAGCTGCTTTCCATAATGTCTTCTAACTTTATCTTTATCTTTAAGGAATAAACACGGTTTATTTGAACAATGCTATGCAGCGCGAAAATTTGGGGAAGTGTAATTCTCATACGGATGCAAGATAACTCTTAGTGTATGACAAATTAGTGAAACAGCTTAAAACTCAGAAAATGCAGACACTTTCAGACTACTTTACTCACAGCGCTGCGTAGCCAGCTGTCATATATTATTTATCTTTAGTTTCAAGACAGCCACTTGACATTAAATCCAATTAAAAGGATTACTGATTGTGATTTATATCCAATGAAAGGTTGTTCTGTTAGTTTTAGCCTTTCACTGGAATATCAGTGTATGTGTGAATATTGACTATTTCACACAAAATTAGGTCAAAATCTCAAGTCAGACCCCCTGAACATGATGGCAGAGTATGATGAAAAAATACAAAATTGGCATTTCTATATATATGTGTGTGTGTATTTGTGTGTGTGCAGTGAAACAAAAGATGATTTGCACAGATAGTGTGTGGCCCTTGAGGGTTTGTGCAATGCATGGCCGGCCACAGTGAAAACAGCTATTGCAGCACAATCACAAACCGCACAGCCAGGCTCCATTACCAACCCATTTCGCTGATGATATCCTCATCATCTCCCAGAACCCGTACACACACTCACCACTGTGTCATGTTAGTGGGCGCAGTCACGAGCGTGCGTGTCACTTTGCTAAGTGTGTTAAGGTGTGAGATGGTTTTCAGCGGCCGATGCTCATGGACATCTGGGCTCTAAAGTGTGTGCACGTGCTGCACAAACCACAAACATGCATGTGTAGATGTAAGTGTATAAATGAGTGTGGGTTATGCGGTTACGCAATGTGCCGGGGGAGCTTTTGACCCCTCGTTTAAGGGTCGAAAGAGTCTGATCAGTCCCAGACTCCATTAACGGAGCCGCAGAGGAGGGAGGGGCTTTCTTGTGCCGCAGAGTGGAAAATTGAGTCCATGTCACGAACTAATAAAATCGTAGCAAAGGTGAATGGAAGAAGGGAACACACACACACACACGCATATAGGACTGACTCATATTCAGGCTATCTCACAAAGTTGCTGACGCACACGCTGAAGATGTGGAGTGAGCAGATGGCTTTAGAACCAAAGGGTCTGTGTGACAGCCTCACATTAGCATGACTCTTTGTCAAGCTAACCTTAGCATTAAACCCCATAGGGGAATAAAGACGTAACCCAATTGTGGAGCATGTGCAGCAGAGGGACAGATTTACCCAGTGCACTCTTTGTGTTAAACCCAGGAAGACTTTGTTTGGATATTTGGTTGACTGGAAGGATCTCAATGATGATGTCTAGAGGGTGTGGGGGGTTTTCCCTTCCAGCTGGTTGAACACGCTGTGGTGACATGCTGTACAATGTTAGGCCACTTTTCACCTCTTTGCGGAGTTATTGCTTTTAGATCCCAGGCTCTGCTAATCATAAAGGTCATTAAATAAGAACATGGTGGGCTGGTGTGAATGGGCTTCTGTAAAGGTAAAAGGGGCCTCCCACTGGCCAACTCCACTCTGCCTGGACTTGCTTCTGCTTTTTACCCAGTTTGTCACCAGTGCATTATGGGATCAGTATTACAGGCAGCATGTGGGGGGGAGGGTAGCCCTAACAAACTTGTTCAGGTGTCCGCTGGTGCCCATTGTCCACGTGTTGTCTACCACTCCTCTCTCCTGTGTCTCTGAGCGCTAGGAGGAGGAGGTTTTGGTTTTGGATTGAGGATCTTTCTTGCCGTTCTGGAGCACAGGCGAATCACTGGAGGTCTTGGGCGTTTTTCTGGGCGGACTCTGTTCACCAACGTCATGTAGAGAGGGCTCCCTGTACATAGCCACTGGGCAAGGCAAGTTTATTTTGGGGAGGGAGAAAGAAAAATTAGAAAGATTGGACACATAAATGCATACAGTATATTATATCAGTCTCTGGCTCTCTTCCACAGCATGTCTTTTATCTTGTCTTCCTTCTCTCACCCCAACTGGTAATGGCAGATGGCCCCGCCCCTCCCTGAGCCTGGTTCAGCTGGAGGTTTCTTCCTGTTAAAAGGGACTTTTTCCTTCCCACTGTCAAGTGCTTGCTCATAGGGGGTTATGTGATTGTTGGGTTTTTCTCTGTATGTATTATTGTAGGGTCTACCTTACAACGTAAAAAAAAATCCTAAAAAATCAGTAATATTCCAGCAGCTGGGGCGCCAAAATTATACCAGAAAATAACAGAAAATAACTTTCCCATAAAAATACGGTTATTTTCAGTAATGACAATACAGTTTGTTGCCCTAATTTTACATGGGATTTTGCCTTTTTCAAGTGCTTTTAAACATTAAATTAGGAACATTTTAACGTGATTAAACAATGAAATTACCCATAAACAAGGTCAATGAATGTGGCAATATGAATAATAATACTTAAATGTACAGAAATATACAGTTAACAGTTGGTTTAAATAATAATGGATTGCATTGATATAGCGCTTTACAATTCCCCTCTGGCCATCACCAGTAGGCGGTAGGTAAAGTGTCTTGCCCAAGGACACAACGACCGAGAGTGTCAAGGCGAATTGCCAACTCTTGAGCCACGATCACCCTAAATCGCAACAATAATAATAATTATTTGATGTAAAAAAAAAGTTTATAGGAATTATTTTATATATTTTTCCATAGCATTACATTTGAATTTAACAGTTCAATCTTTCAAATAACTTACACATATTTGTGAAATTATGATACATTTGTGAAAGTATTTTAACAATCTAAATATGCACATGTACAGACAGATACATTTAAAAAACAAGAAAATTATGTTTTATGACATTTACAGTAATTTTACGTTAATTTACATTTGAAATGTAAAATCACAGTCTATTTATGTAAATTTAATGATAATCTAGAAGAACAGTACAAAACTGTAAAATACACAGTAAAATACTTTTATATTACTTTTTTTTTTTACAGTGTACAATATAAAGAGCCTAGGGGTGACTGTTGTTGTGATTTGGGGCTGTACAAATAAAATTGAACTGAATATATACAGTATACTGGCTAATATGGATTACTTTTAATTCAATTTAATTTTATTTATACAATCACAATAAGAAAATCGAGTCGAGTAAGAGTCGCCTCAAAGTCCTTTATAGTGTGAAGTAAAGACCCTACGATAAGACCCTACAATAATACAGAGAATAAACACACAATCAGATGACCCCATAACACGTGAATTATACTAATACTAATGCGGCATAGAGTAACTGACGCCATAACCAGAACCCTATTTTAACCCTACGCTGCAACCTTCTACGTAACCTTGAGTGCTTCTTCTGAGAAATGTAACTACACGCTGGGATGACGTATACCACAACAAGTCTAAAGGCATGGAAGGTTGTGGTGTAGGGATTAAAGCAGTTTCTGGTTACCAGCTAGGACGTAGGTTTCCTGCAGAAGTCTAAATTTAGCTTAAGATCAAACATTTGGCGACAGTGGGAAGGAAAACCTCCCTTCTAACAGGAAGAAACCAGATCCTGGCTTAGGGAGTGGACATTATAACATAATAGAAAAGCAGCAATAGATCCTCTATTATTCATTTTTGCCACTTCTGCTGGTGTTTTTCCTTGTAGGTTGCACTGTCTTAGGTCAAATCAAGTCAAAGTTTATTTCTACAGCATAACACATTCAAAACAATCTCAGCTGACCACAGTGCTGTACAGGTTATACAAAATATAGACTACACACAACAGTTAGAAAATCAGGAGTAAATAAACACTGAAAATCATCAAATAAAGCCTTAGTGGGCATGGGTTATAAACCCCACCATCGCTGAGTGTGCACTGATCCATGCTCACTATCTGCAGGTGCAGCACCTGTTCTGTGCCGGGCAACGAGGAAATATCATGCACTATTAAATGGCTTTTGAAAAACGTTGTAGGTTTTTATTGTTGCTGTTATAAATTCTACTCATAAAGCATAAAAGAGAAGAAAAGGATGATAACAAGTTTCAGCGGTATGTTCTCTAATAATTGATGATATGATCTCAATACATGCATCTAATGTTCTGCACTAAAACTCATTTACAGAAAAGACATGATTCACATTTGTGACTCAGATTATGATGATATAGTAATTTCCTGACATGCTGATGTGTTCAAACTTTTCAACAATGGATTGAGGTCATGAGTAGATTATGAGTGTTACTTTATTCATGGGGGTTTGAAAAATGATCAAAGTGAAGTGATCACGTTGATCATTTTAATGTAACTTTTAATCTCTATAACTTATCCTGTATCTTTATTATTTTCATATCCTGCATGAAGGTTAAGGAAAGTAAAAAGTTTTCTGGACTGATGAAATTTCTTGCTTCCTTTGTTACAGTTGCTATTTTTTGTGTTATCCTTGGTTTTCCTTCTGTATGACCTTTTGTCTTTTTATTTTAGATCTTTTTCTTTGCCCCCTTGTTGAAATTGAAATTTTTATTGTTTTATGATAGAGAGCAACATGCTTTACATGTACATACCGTACAAAGCTTACCTTCAATAAGTTTGGGCAGGAAGTGAGCAGCTCCCTTCGTCTTCTTGACGCGGTTCCCCTTCATGACTTGGCCGTCCCGGTTGATGCCGATGTACCAAGCCCGCCCTGACTGGGTCTGTCTGTACAGGATGGACGAGTAGGTGACGTAGTAGTTCTCAAACACACACTCCTTAAACTTACACTCAGGTGTAAAGTGTTCCTGTAAGCAACACACACACACACAAAAAGACACGTCAGGTCAATGGAGAAGAATAACACATTTGGAGATTGCATCATTTTTTATCTGTTCTATTATTTATATATTTACTCTCCGGTTCCACTGGCTCAGCTGGGAATGGGAGGAAATGGGTTCCACATTTCATTGTGACAGGTTTACAGGAACATCTGTGGCATGCACACAGACACACAAACACACACACACAGACAAACTCAGTCCCAACATGTACATGCCTCTTTGCCACACGGACAAAGTGTTTTGTGAGCCAGCAGGTCATAACTCAGTCTCTACGGTTTACCTGTAACAAACAACAATCAACTGGATCCTTCACCTCCTTCATAGTTTAATGACGTCGCTGTTGGCCTTCAGCTCACACACACACTCAGACACACACATACACACACAGAGCCCCCGCATTAGGCAATACGTCAACAGCGGGACATCCCCACCCTCCTCCCCTTCATCGTCCTCCCCACAATCTCTGGTTACAGCTCTCACATATTCCTTCTCTATCTCATATTCCGTGTCTCCTCCACTTCATTCTCTCCATCCCTCCGTCATTTGGTAACCTTGTCCAGGAACAAACCAATTTGCAGGATTGATTTCGAGCCTTGATGTGACGGGTGAGCAGAAAAGGCCTGAATAAGGAGTTTGCTCCCTCTCTTTCTCTCCTTCCCACTCTCGCCCCTCCTCGCCGTCTCCTATCTCGTCTCCCTCTCTCCGTCTGCCATTCCAGGCCCAGATCCTCACGCCTGCCCATATCCATTGTACCACACATAAACAAGCTAATTACATCGACTGTATCGCCCATTCTTTAATTACACATCCATTCACTTAGACAGCCATTCATTCCCTTGCCCACCCATTACCTTAGCTCTATTAGCACAGAGTGAAATCCAAAGGTCTGCAGTGTCTCTGAAGGTGTAATCAGATTGCTATCATTAACTGCGTTTCGCTGCAGTGTGATGTGTCTCATCTTCTCTGTGCAGTGTGTGTGTAGGAACTTTAAAGGATTGTAAGGTAACTTTAAAGCTGATCAGCAGCTCATTACCACCCCACCACCACCATCATCAGACATGCATGCTCAAGACCATTAATTGATTAATTATGTGAATTAAACTGAACCTGAAACAGATAAGCAAATTTAGGAGATCCTCAAAAGTAAGCAAGTGTGGTAAGATGCAGCATCTTTTCTGTGATAGGCTCTGTTATTTTGCAGGCTACAAAAGGTCACATGATTAGGAGAAGTAACACAAAGTGATCACATTGCATTAAATTGTGTGCTTTAAGGATTTTAAAGATAACCCTGGCTTATTTTAACTTGTTATAGTTTTCAGTGGATGTTTCATCAGCTCTGCTGTTTTGACATTTTTTCTGTGCAGGATCTTTAAAGACTTTATTGCAGGGTTGTGAACACAGATGTATAAACTGACTGTATTCTAATACCCAGTGTTCTTGCACTCCTGTCAATGTAATTTCCTGGTATAATTTTCACATGGAAACGCTTCTGCTTTACTTTTTCATTTTCTTGGGACACCCCATTTATTACATTTTTTGAAAAGTGGAACTGGCCCACATCACAGTTTCCAACAAGGACCATGTTTTCAACACAGGGTCCTACTGTGAAGTCCTCAGTTTCCTCAGGGGAGAACGTTTGATGGAAATGACTTGAACTGCTCCAGAGTGCCATCATGTGCAGGCACATCTACATTTGAAGATATATGATGACATATATGATGACTTCAGGTGCATCAAAGCAATCCTCACTCATTGCCTCTCCGACAGTCTTTCCACTTCCAAAAAGTTCTAAATCATTTTGAGCGACCAGTGTGTTGACGCAGTGCTCCCTACAGCTTTCTAACAAACGTCATTTTTAAACTGTTTTAAAAGGAGCACTTGGATTGGTGGTGCATTTTATATCAGGTAAAACATAAAACAGCTCCAAGGCCCTCACTCTTCACGTACAATTAACATGCCTTTATTCTCACGGCATCACTATAGTTCAGCGGTCCCCAAACTTTTAAGCACCACGGACCAGTTAAATGTAAGACAATATTTTCATGGACCGGCCTTTAAGGTGTTGCAGATAAATACAACACAATAAAATGATACGCCCAAGACAAAAACTGTGGTATTTATTATATAATAATAAACGCAAATTCGCTGTGTAATTGTGTAACTTTATTAGCAGCGTCCTCCTGAAATCTGCCAACAACATTGAGAGTAACATCCTCCTCTCTGCCCCTTAATTAATCTCTGGTCGCTATAGTAACACGTAATTATTTCTTTCAAAATAAGACACAACTGCAACACGAGAAAAAACTATAAATTTCACACCCGAGGCTCTACTCTCGTGGCCTGGTACCAAACGACTCACGGACCGGCCCCGGGGGTTGGGGACCGCTGCTACCCATATGGAAAAGATATATATAAATCTTATGAAGTTTGTATCTGTCTCGTGTGAAACTTGTATGAAAAGCATACAAGAGTGACTCATGACATATTCCTGTTCAGTGTGTTGAACTCTGTTGAAACCATACACTACAGTATAACCACACCAGAGAATATAAGCGTTTTAATTGTATATGAAAAGAGATTGTTTTGGTGGTTTGTGGATATTTTAGCTGTTTCAAATTTTGACCTTTACTCGAACTATTTTAAGTTTGCTTTGAGGTAAACCTTCACTGTAACTTAATGGTGCAGTTATGTGTGTGAGATCATTGTGACTTTTCTGTTAAGCATGTGTCATGTCAGCAGCAAACCAGATATCAGGGCTACTTTCCCCCACATTTTAAATTTCTTGGGCCATTTCTTATAACAGTTACTGTGTTTTTGCTAGATGTGCAAAATGTGCTTGTGAGTGTCTGGTGTCTTCTTAACATCTCAGCCTCAACAAAATGCCAAGTCCACTCAAAGCTGAGGTGCAGACTGATGTTAAAGGGCAGGCTGCTCCCTCATCTGTCATCTTGACTCAGTGTCTATGCTGACAGAAAATAAAAACAAACTAAGAGTTCGACGTGGGTAAGACCAAATATATGGTTAGCCAGTGCTTTGAATTCCTTCTAAAATAAGTGTTGACATCTTAAACATGGGTTTCAAAAATCTTAGTTAAGGAAAAAGATCTCCATTCAGTACACAGTCAAGTATGGTTTTAAGACAATCAAGTTGTTGTTGCATCTGCCAGCCCACATTTTACACTGGCAATTTAGGCACTCTGGGCTTACTACAGTCTGCTCCTTAATGATAGCTATCCCAACTTAGAGACAAAACAAAATCCAGAGACTACAATAAAAATAATACAGAAATATAAAATATTAAAGTAACACTGAAAACGAATAAGAATTAAACGTATAACAAGTAGCAAGAAGACTTCTGGTTTGAAAGCTGGTGCCTCTGTGTGATGAGTCAGCATGTTCTACCTGTGCCTGTATGGGTTTCATGCATGTTAGATCAACTTATTTCAAACTGGCTGTAGATGGGAGGTAGATAAAGTGCTTAAAGTGTATAGTAAGTGTAGTCCAACTAGAAAACTGGCTTATATAAAAGCCAGTCCATTCCCAAAGCGTAAGAAGAATGTCAGGTTTAAAGAGAACAGCTTGATTTGAGTCACTTACTGTGCTGTCAAAGTGTAACTACAGTACCACACAATCGGTATATACAGTATTACTACACAAAAGTGTACTAAGCCTTCAAACTAACACACTATCTGGAGTGGGGCACTAAAGTGAATATCTGCATGCATGAGCACATATAAGACTCTTTTTTCAGTTAGATGGATTGTCTGAATCATGCCTGTATATGATTTAAACTCAGTCAGAGCAGTAAAAATCTTGAATAACAGGTTAAAAAAATATTACAAGTTACTTCAAGTGTAAAAAAGTACATCCTGACAATGTTCACCTGCCAAACAGCCAAGATTTAAACCTAACAAAGGAAACAAGAAAGAAAAAGCTGACAATCCAAGACTAACCAAAGTGATACCTGTCAGCCCCTCCTTTAAAAAACAGAGAGCAGAGGGTTTTATTTCCTGTTAAATGATTTAAAATACAGACTTAAAATACGGATAACTTTCCACATATTTTATTAGAAATGCCTAGAAATGCTAGAAATGCTTTTTAATGAGTAATTCATGACTTCACTGCAAATTTCACACTTTCCAAATCAAGGCCAAGGTCATAGTATGTGTGACACCAGTGGTCTAGATATTTACAATATATTCCATTCATTTTCTCAGTTCATTGTCCTGTTCAGGGTCTCAAGTTGACTGGACCCTATCCTCGCTGTACTAAGGCAAGAGACTGGGTACACACTCAACAGGTCGCCAGTCTATCACAGCCCTATTAAATAGTTAATTAACAGATATTTTTCTCCATCTCACATTAGTGACTAAAAAAAGATTAAAATGACTTCTACTGTATCGAACATATCAAATAAATCATATAATTGTACGCAGAAGAAAGCTTTGTGCACGTAGTTAAAAGCATGCACTCAGGGAGAGATCAGCAATGCTGTTTTATAGAGTTTAGACTTTTCAAAATTAAACACTAACACACATTATTCAAGCAGCATACACACAGGGGACAGATGAGCATCTGTCTTCATGATTTGCTCTCAGTGGACTTCAGGCTGATTTTCTAACTGATCATTTCCCCTTCATCAATGCTGAGGAAAGGCAGCCATCCTCGTATCTCTTCACCGAGGACACCAACAAGCCTCAGTCTAATAACAGAGAATACGATCTGTCACCTGAGCCCAATAACCCCTCATTCCCCTCATCCAAGAGACAAACTACATTAAAGCATCTCCAGTGCAGTTCCTCTTGTGTTCAGCAGGTGCTGCTCCAAACACACAGCCGGGGCTTCTGCTGCTGCTGTAGCTCCTGATGCTACAAAATTAACCGGTGTCCACTTGTCACTCTGTAACCCCCTGAAGGGCTTCGTTTAGCCTGCTAAAAACCACTCGAGCTGGAGAACAGCCACGAA